AGAAAGGAACAGAAAAAGAAAACAAAAATTAAAAAAAAAATGTTTGGGGGGGATGCAGATCAAATCCTCACATACACATTCATGCACAAAGGAAAAATATTTTAAAAATAGATGAACAGTCAAAACAATTTTTTCAATTAAAAAAATAATTGAACATTTAAAAACCAAAAACAAACAAACAAACAAACAAAACCCGCTCTCTTGTGGCAGGCTCCGTAATTGTTCCTCTAATCAGGTCTCTCCTGCTGAGCCACCTCTCTCACTCTCTCCTCAGGGAATGAAGCAAGCAGAGCCTGGATTTAAATCTGTGATAACCTGAATTGGGAACCCACATTCATTACTATCTATATTTTTCCTTTAATCAAAAGATGAAGAAGGAGAAAAGGACCCTGAACTTGATGACAAGGAAACCATCGAGAGAGTCATTTCAGTAGATAGATAAATAGGAACTGAGGCCATATTCCAAAGGTTACAAAGTGAGTGGGTAGCAAAGAAGTATGACCTGTAACACAATAATCTGCATAGGAAAGAGAGGAAAGTGAATATGCTAAGCAAATAGCTCTAAGCAGTAACACTACTTTTTTTTAGGGTGAGAAGATGTAAGAGAAGAGCCTTCTACACTGCTGGTGGGAATGCAAACTAGTGCAACCTCCTTGACAGGCAGTGTGGTGATTTCTGAAAGAACTAGAAATTGATCTTCCATATGACCCAGCAATCACCCTATTGGGAATATACCCGGAGGAACTCAAATCATTCTACAAAAAAGATACTTGCACACGTATATGTGTTGCAGCTCTATTCACAATAGCAAAAACATGGAGCCAACCATGCTGCCCATCAAAGGTGGACTGGATTTTTTTAAATGTGGTACATATACACAATAGAATATTATTCAGCCATAAAGAAGGACAAACATATGGACTTCGCAGCAACTTGGATGGATTTGGAGTCTATCATACTCAGTGATCTATCACAGAAACAAAGAACAGAGTACCATATATTCTCACTCACAAGCGAACCTTGAACAATTAATTATCATAAAACTGTAAGAAATGGACTGGCAGTAGTGGGAAACTGCCAGGGGAGCAGGGGTGGGATTGGCAGTTGAGGGAAACTGCCAGGGGAGGAAGGGTCATACCTCATCAACAAGGGTACCTGCATAATGAACATTTGTATACCTAACCCTGAATTGTACCCCATATCTTTAAAAATAAAGAAAAAGAAGAAGGAAAAAAAAGAAGAACCTGGGAAACGAGAGGCAATTCTGGACCTGTTTTTAACTGTAAGTACAGTTTTTTCATAACAGCAATGCTGTCTTTCATATATTGTCTGTGGCTGCTTTCACTCCACAAAAGCAGAGTTGAGTAGTTGTAACAGAGTCCCTATGGGCTCCAAATCCTAAAATATTTATCGTATGGCTTTTTACAAAAAGGTTTGATGCCTCCTGATTAAGAGGCTTTATCAGATGGAAGAGATAGGGTAAAAAGTAGTAGAATATTGAGTCTTATAAAAATCTTTCCTAATCAAAATCAACAAACAAAAGTAAATACATGAACAGTTATGGGACTTCAATGTTTCATTAAAACATTCTTGGCTGGGTGTGGTGGCTTTCTCCTGTAATCCCAGGATTTTGGGAGGCCAAGGCAAGAGGATTGCCTGAGTCCAGGGGTTCGAGACCAACCTGAACAATTTGGCAAGACCTCGTCTCTACAATAAATCAAAAAATTAGGCGAATGTGGTGACACGCACCTATGGTTCCAGCTACTTGGAAGGCTGATGTAGAAGGACGCCCTGATACCAGCAAGTCAAGGCTATGGTGGCCATGAGCATGCCACTGCACTCCAGCCTGGGCAACAGAGTGAGACTCCAACCCAGAAAAAAAAATTAAAAAAAAAATATTATGGCCCGGGTATAGCAGCTCACACCTGCAAGACCAGCCTGGACAACTTGGCAAGACCTTGTCTGTACAAAAACTCAGAAAATTTTAGTCAGGCATGGTGGCACATGCCTGTAGTTCTAGCTACTCTAGAGACAGAGGCAGAAGGATCACCTGAGCCTAGGAGGTGGAAGCCACAGTGAGCCCTGATCACAACACTGCACTCCAGCCTGGGTGACAGAGTAAGACTCTGACTCAAAAAACAAAACAAAACAATATAATATTTTACTGCCTTCAGTGTTACCTGAGAATGATGGCTGGCTAAGGAGATGGCAGAATCATTAATCACAGAGGATCTATTCTTTCTGGAAACTTCAAGGTAAATCTCTCCTGAAGTGACTAAAAATTATTAAAGTCTGAAAACTATTAATCATAATGTCCTAAGAAATTCTCTAAGTGAAAAGGTGGCAATATACCTCCTAAATACCTAATGACTCAAATAATTCAGAATAATGTCATCTATGCAGAATTAAACATCCACATACCTCTCCTGTGTACAATTTTCTCTCAATTGATGAAACATACTTTTAAGAATAAGTTTTAAAAGTTGCTGCAGTAATTTTTTTGGATGGGCAAAATCCCCTCTGAATTAGGGAAAAAGTTTGAAAGATATTATATTACGAGAAGAAGCCTGCATTATGTAGATCACAAAGGAACACAAAACAAAGTTTCCAATGTAACTCTCCTTGTTTCTGATGTTAAACACTAAAACCAGGAAGTAACAGTAAGTCACAAAGTATTAGGTTAATATGAGTTTCTTGCAGAAAAAGAAATTAGATTTTTAAGGCACTGGTAAGGTCAAAATAATGGTTTCTTTCTCAAAAATCCTGCTAATTCACTAGCACAACTATTTTTTAAAAACACATGTTGATTTACTTCTTCTTACTTACTTAATACGTGTTTACTAGAAAACACTCAAACCATACTGGGAAGTATACGAGAACAAAATGCACCTAATCACACTGCCTGAGATGACCATCATTAACATTTAATGAAAAGCTTCTCACAAATCTCTATGTGTATCTATGCTGTCATCCATATTTTACCTAATTAGAATATTATACGACATTTTTATTATGGACATCTTTCTTTCACTCTTTTTTTTTTTTTTTTTAAAAAAGCAAAAACAAAAATTTTTATGATATCTGCAGAAGATAAGAAAACAATGCAAACCATACAATATGGTCTAAAATGACAAAAATTTCCCTATCAGTTCCTTTCAATCTTCAGATAAGCACTTTTGAAGCTTTATTTCTTCAATTCTTCTGGGTGCCTTCCATTTTAGATTTAACTATACTTATTTTTATATTTCTGATTTATAAATTATAGAAAATAGTAGCTGACTCTGCAAAATAAAAACTAAAAATTTAACATACTTATACTACCATTCAAGGTTTTCCCTCTTCAATTTCTTAGTTAATTTCATTACCTTTATGTTTTCAAGTTTTTCAACATTTATATTCTTTCATATAGCCATAGTTAAGTATGCCCTTTTTGCCTAAGGCAATATCAAAATTTAAGCCCTCTAAAATGGAGTTACAAAATCATAATTATGGGGCCCCAAAAGAAACACATGCAATCCTGTGTCTCTTAAACCCTGCAGCTCAAAGGAGATTGTCCTAAAATAGCAAACTTTAAAAACTTTCTTTCAGCTTTTATAACTTCTATAATGTCATTTCTGTTACCAGTTCCTATTTTGTACCTCATATAATATACTTTCTTGTCAAGAATGTACTCACGTAACTTTTGTCATACAGGGTATATAGGAGTAAAATTTCTGAGTCTGAAAATATGTTTACTCTGTCCTCATATCTGATGGAAACAATGGCTAGGTAGAGAATTCTTGGTTTAAAATAAATCCCTCTCTAAACTAAAATGGCATTACCTCATATGCTTCTAGTAATTGGGGTTGATGCTAAGAATTGATTCTAGTTACCTTGTAAGATAGCCCATTCATTCTCTCTAGAACTTATGAAGATTTGTTTTCTTTCTCCTAAGTGTGCTGAGATTTCTCCAGGGTATATCTAGGCATAGGTCTTTTAGCCCATTCATTCTGATCAATTCCAGTGGGTTATATCAATCCCAAGACTCATGTGAAATGATTTTCTGCTAATATCTGTCATCTTCTATTTCAGAGCTCCTATTAGAAGGTGGTTGGTCTTTTTATATCTTTACCATTTCACTTACTTTTCTCTCATATTTGTCATCTTTGTCTTTTTTGCTATAAAGATTTTCTCCACTTTTTCTTCCAGAGGAGCAATTTAGTATATGTCCTATTCGTTTATTTAATTCTGTATTACAGTTGCTAAGCACTGTTTCTTGTTCTCTGACTACTCTTGTTCATAGCTGCCTACTCTTATTTTATTGACAGAGCATTCTCTCTAGTTCCACTAAACTAATTACTAATTATAATTTTTTTAAATCCCTCTGGTGTACTCCAAATTATCTGAGTTCAGTTCCTTTAACTTGCTCTTTCTTTTATACACTAATTATTTTCTTCAAATACTATATGATCCTCAGTTTTAGTTAATTTTTGAAGGAAAATACTTCACACTTTCATTACGAGTGTAATTAATTTTTTCCTCTCTACAGTTGGGTAGAAAGAAGAGAAATAAGGGAAAAAGAGGAAAACGCCTCTGTTTTTCTTCAGCATGTGTTAATTACTATTCAACAAACTTTATTCAGAAGAATGTGGGAATTTGTATCCTACTCATGGAATTCGAAAGGAGTAGAGAGAAAGAAACAGAATGTCCCCAAAGTAGCAAATTTGATCACTGTCAGATTGTATTATCTATTATAATTAAAAGCTCCTAATATTTCAACATAAACTTTAAATTCATTTTACTGGCTATATACAAAGCACAAAATCACCAACAATTAAAAGTACCTATTTAGCATTAGAATTAGCCCATACATTCCTCCCTCAAATTCTACTTAAATTTGTTGTCATTTTCAGAAATTAGTTCTTACTGTCCCATTGGAAATGATTCAAGTGAGAGAAGTCCTTTGCTCTCAGAAGGGTCAGCTAAGAGTAGAAGGAGAAAAATCACAGGTGCTTGCTTACCTGCTGGGTGGTGCTAGTGACGATACCCTGCTGTAGACGGTAGGCCTGCTCTTGAAGGTATTTTCTAGTCTCGTGATTCCTTAGCAGATAATTTTCTATCTGGAAATTAAACACAAGTATCCCTTAAGAACATATTTCAATTCAGCAGAGGATAAATTTGTAAGGAATACAGTCAGTTGCTGAACTTAAAAACCAAAACGCTAATACACACATCCTTGACCCACAAAACATATGGGATGGGGAAAATGGCTTTCATTATGATTTATTCCTGGTGTTCTTAGAAATTCAACTTGCAGGTAATTGGGGTAATTTTTATATGGCTCAGTAGTCGACAAAAATAAGCCAATATTTAATTGTCTGCAGGGTTAGAGTCCCCATCTTGTGACTTTTCATCACTTTTCTGCACACAATCTCAATGCTTCTCACTCATAAATTTTTAACTATCCCACAGTTCTGAAGTTAAATAAATATCCCCAAGGAGTGTAGATGGTACTCTCTGAACCGCTTATCTTTATTTGAGTCATAGAATCTACCAGCATTTAGAAAATTCCTTCTCTTAAGGTGAGAGAAACAGAGAAAGAAAATAGCTATAAAATGTGAAGAATACAGACTGGCAAAACTCACAGACATATACTAATTTTGTTACTCCATCTAATTTTCATAATTTTTTTAAAAACAGAACTGATTTTAATAAACTTATAGCAAATAAGAAAATTGACTTCCACAGAGAAACCTTGAAGCACCTTGATCTGTATTTTTATTTTATTTTATTTTTTGAGAATTTTACTCTGTCGCCCAGGCTAGAATGCAGTGATACGATGATGGCTCACTGCAGCACTGACCTCCTGGGTGCAGTCTCAGCCTTCTGCCTCAGCCTCCCAAGTAACTAAGACTACAGGTACATACCACCACGCCCAGCTAATTTTTAAGTTTTTGTAGAGACAAGGTCTCCCCCTCTTGCCTAGGCTGGTCTTAAACACTTCGGCTTCCCAAAGTGCTGGAATTACAGTATGAGCCACCACACCCAGCAAACCATCTGATTTTTATGCATAGAAAATCTTCTATAAGAAATACAAATCCACAAATGATAACTATTGAAATAAAGCATTTAAGAACAATATGCAATGAAAGACATTGAACAAAAAAATGCAAGGTTAACTATTAGGAATGATGTATTCCTATAAAAATATATTTTAAACAATAATTTGAGGTGGGTAAATTGTACCATCTTTTTTTTTTAACTTATTTTGTTTTTAATAACATCAGTTAACCACTTGGCTTTTAATTTGTCACAAGAGTTCCCTGGTTAAGAACTTCTAATAACTGTGAAGCTCTAAGTATTAGTATATTTTCATTTTAATTTTCCATATGCTAAAATGACTACTACTTAGTACCAATTAGGAACAATTAAAATACAGGCTATAACTACCATCATCCCTGGAAACTATAAAGCAGAACAAAATGTACAATTCCATTAAGCATAAATGAAGAAATTATAAAAAGATCCCTGAAATGAAACATCATCAAAATGACGCATTAATACCTTGACACAATACAGTATATTACATTCACTTTCTCTTGCTGTTTCTCAAGAAGTACTCTTTTCAAGGTGACATGATCATCAACGTAAAATTTTTTGCTAGCAAGATTCTTGCCCGAAACATGACAGGTACACACCATCACCCAGCTTCCAGTCCTTTTGCTTTTAATTTGTTCTTTTACATTTGACCTCACAGAGCACTGGCTATGGTCTGGGTCTGAGAGTAGTTGATTTATTCAGGAGGTTCATCTCACACACAGGCAGTGCACACAGGCTGGCTCATGCCTTTCGAGACCTTTCCTTAGAAGTACCCATTGTGCTCTAAAGATTTAAGCCAGGAAGGAATTTTTTAGAAAAATAGTACTCAAAATTTGTTTCTAAAAATCAGCTCCAGGGCAAGAAAGAATAACAATTTTCGAGTGACTTTAATATCAGTCATGTACATTTCACCAGTGAAATTACTCACATCTTAGATTAAACGGGTAAGCTTTCCCTACATGCACCACTTCAGAAAACCCACCTCCTGCTGGTTAAGGACTGAGGGTCCGGCTAAGCTCAAATGGAAAGGGGAGGACCCAAAAAACCATCATCATGATGTTCACTGGACACTCTGGACAACAGAGAGTGAGCTGAGAGTTAACTGGAGTTAGTAACACATCTCTAGTCTCACTGCTGAAAATAGTAGCAACACAAGAAGGAGGGAAAAAAATCTATATTTAAGCAAAGGAATCTTTTTTTTAAGTGTATTCATCACAGTATTATTTTCTTCTGTAGAGTAAAAGTAATTAGTCATATTCCTTCCAGAAGACAGATATCTATTAATATGAAAACTTGAATATAGAAGAGCACATTATAAGAAAAACTTATAAGCATGAGTTTTAAAGTCACCAATTTTTTATTTAAAAAGCACAATTTTTACAGTTAACATAATGCACCCTCCTTTGTCCCTGGTTTCTATTTTCTGTAACTGTTTTCAATTTTCTGAACTGTTAAATGTGTCCTCATATAGTAGAACTCATATCTACCATGTTTGTAAATGTTTTCTACTGATTATATTCATTCTTTGTTTCTTCCTTTATCATCTTCTCTTTTATGCCTTCTCTCATCTTAAACAAGCATTTTATATGAATATATTTTTCTTCTCTCTTATACTTCTTTTAAAAAATTTTATTGCTTTTTCTAGTGTTTGCAATACACATTTACAAATGCTCTGGTTGGGCTTGGTGGCTCAGCCTGTAATCTCGCACTTTGGGAGGTCGAGGTGAGTGAATTGCCTGAGCCCACGGGTTCCAGACTCGCCTGGGCAACTTGGTGAGACCTCATCTCTAAAATAAATCAAAAACATTAGCCGGGCGTGGTGGCGCACGCCTGTAGTTCCGGCTACTTGGAAGGCTGAGGCGGAAGGATCACTGGAGCCCAGCAGGTCGAGGCTGCGGTGGCCGGGAGCATGCCACTGCACTCCAGTCTGGGCGACAGAGTGAGACTCCAACTCAAAAACAAACAAACAAATGCTCTAAGATCACTTTCAAAGACTACTATATTGTTTCACAAATAGTGCACGTACTTTATAACAAAATATTGCCAATTTCCCCCACCCATCCCTTACAACATTGCTGTCCTTCATTTCACCTACCCACATACTACAACCACCTAATATATTGTGGTTATTATTATTATTATTTTTTTTTGAGTTGGAGTCTCACTCCGTCATCCAGACTGGAGTGCAGAGATACGCTCCTGGCCACCACAGCCTCAACCTGCTGGGCTCCGGGGATCCTTCCACCTCAGCTTTCCAAGTAGCCGGAACTACAGGCGCGCTCTACCGTGCCTGGTTAATTTTTTATTTATTGCAGATATGAGGTCTCACCAAGTTGCCCGGGCGGGTCTTGAACCCACGGGCTAATGCAATCCACTAACCTCAACCTCCCATAGCGCTGGGATTATAGGCTGAGCCACTGAGCCCGGCATATTGTGGTTATTATTACTCTGAGGAACCACTCATCTATTCTATCAAGTCATACCCCCCAAAAAAAATTGATTTATCTTATTTTATTCCCTTTCTGATGATCTTCCTCTCCTTATTCAGATACAAATTTCTATCCTATATCGTTTTCCTTCTCTTTGAAGAACTTCTTTTAATGTTTTAGCATTTCTTGTTACTGGTAAAACATGTCCTAAGTTTTTATTTCAGAAAGTCTATTTCTCCTTCATGTTTGAAGGACAGTTTTGCTGGGTTTAGAATTCTGGTTGATGGCCTTTTTGGTATTAACACTTAAAGTATTTCACTACTCTCTCTTCTTGGTTACACTTTATGACAAAAAAAGTCTGATGTAATTCTTATCCTGGTTTCTCAATATGTAAGGTGTTTATTCTCTGCATTCTTTAAAGATTTTCTCTTTGACTTGGGTTTTCCACAGTTTGAATATAATATGTCTATGTGTACATTTTTGGGTATTTATTCTGCTTGGTGTTCTTTGAGCTTTCTGGATTTATGGCTTAGTGCTTCGACATTAATTTCAGAAAATTTTCAGCCATTATTACTTCAGATATTTCTTCTGTTCCCTTCTCCCTGGTATTCTCATGATATCTTTTATGATTGTCCCACAGTTCTGGGATATCCTATTCTTTTTTTCTTTCTTTCTTCCTTTCTTTTTTCTCTTTGCAATTCAGTTTGGGGAGTTTCTACAGAAGAATCTTCTAATGCAATGATTCTTTCTGTGTCCAATTTACCAATGAGCTTATCAAAGGCACTGTTCACTTCTATGACAGGGTTTTGATCTCTAGCATTTCCTTTTAATTTTTTCTTTAGCGTTTTCATCTCTTTGCTTATATTAACCATCTGTTCTTGTGTGCTATCTGCCTTTTCCATTAGAACCCTCAACATGTTAATCATAGTCATTTTGTTTTTTATTTTTTTATTTTTTTTGAGTTGGAGTCTCACTCTGTCACCCAGGTTGGGGGGCAGTGGCATGCCTCTCGGTCACCACAGCCCCACTGCTGGGCTCTGGCGATCCTTCCACCTCAGCCTTCCAAGTAGCTAGAACTACAGGCATGCGCTACCACACTCAGCTAAATTTTGATTTATTATAGAGATGAGGTCTCGCCAAGTTGCCGAAGCTGGTCTCTAACCTGCGGGCTCAGGCAATCCACTCGCCTCAGCCTCCCAAAGTGCTGGGAATACAGACTGAGTCACCGAGCCCGGACAATCATAGTTATTTTAAATTCCCTGTTTGATAATTCCAAAATTGGTGGTATTTATGAGTCTGATTCTGATGCTTGCTTTGTCTCTTTTACACTGTGTTTTTTCCTTCCTTTTAGCTGCCTTATAATTTTTTGTTGAAAGCTAGACGTGATATATCTGGCTTTTAGTGTTAAGGTGTTGTATTAATCTAGCTAGGAGTTGGGCAGTATTTAATATTTGCTGTAGTTATATGTGTGAGAGGTTTCAGTTTTCTCTAGTGTCCTTGTTTTTGTCTCCCCTGTTGTTTGGGGGTTTCCCTAGAAATTCTTTCTTAGAGTCTAAGTCTTATGGTTTGCTCAGTTGTAATCCTCTGTAATTTTACTTGATATGGTTATAAGGTGTTAGAGAATGCATTCCATAGTTTGATAATCAAATTTAGATTTTTTTTTTTTTTTTAGCAGTCATGGATCTTTAAGCTGTGGCCTTCAGAAATGTTTCTTAGCCTTCCCCTCCACCCTTCTTATGTAAGACAGAAAGGATAGAAGAAGATGGGTTATCTAATTGTCTTTCCCCAGTTCAAATAAGGTTCTGGTAGTTTATCTGGTTGGTAGGCTATGGAGAACAGAATGCTCTGGGTATATTTCAAAATAGTTATTTTTCTCCCTCCCCCTTCCAGAAACATAAGAAAGTTTTTCGCCAATCTTTACAATGACAACCTGTTGGGATTCCTGGAAGTAAAACCTATGAGGGAGGGTTGGGGCTTCCCTAAAACTAGACCCTAAGGAGTATGTAGCTCTTAAACTAGTCTACGCTATGCCTTTACCAATTCATCAATTAGTGTTTAAGTGTTCCTATGAGTTACTATTCTACTAGCTTCTGCTCCTGGTAAATTGATCTTGGCTACAACTGTCTGTGATTCTCTGTACTTACCTGTCCAGTTTCCAGGGTGACAGTTTTTCTTGTGGCCTCAGTTTTCTAACAGATCTAAGAAAAGTCATTGATTTTCTGTTTATACAGCTTTTTTTCTTGTTGTAAGGATCGGAATGATGACTTTCAAGTTACTCAGAAATCAAATCTGAAACCAGGGATTCAGTTTCTCTAGAAAATGTGTTTTGCTTGAAGCTTACTAGCATCCTTTTGGAAAGTACAAAAACATGTAACATTTTGTATATTGCTTTTCACAAACTGCTTTTCATATATACTACACCTCACTGGAGTCTCAAAGTCACCTTAGGTAAATTGCTTAGTCTCTCTGCCCTTCATTTTCCTTTTCTATAACAACAGAACCTCTTGTATGGGCTTATTATAAAGATTACATGTATTGACCGGGCTCGGTGGCTGAGCCTGTAATCCCAGCACTTTGGGAGGCCAAGGTGAATGAATTGCCTGAGCCCTCAGGTTCGAGACCTGCCCGGGCAATTTGACAAGACCTCATCTCTACAGTAAATCAAAAATTAGCCGGGCATGGTAGTGCACGCCTGTAGTTCTGGCTACTTGGAAGGCTGAGGCGAGAGGATCGCCGGAGCTCAGCAGGTCAAGGCTGCAGTGGCCGGGAGTGTGCCACTGCACTCCAGTCTGGGCAACAAAGTGAGAGTCCAACTCAAAAAAAAAAAAAAAAAATAGATTACATGTATTAATTTATGTTAAAGCATTTCAAACAGTGCCAGACCCAGTGAGAACTATATGTTGTGTCAGTTAAACATAGTTATTGTACAACATTCTTTATCCTACTTATATAGTTGAAGAGAATAAAGTTCAGAAAAGTCAAGTAGCTTATTTAAGGTTACAGGAAGAGTTTAGTTTGAAGTCAGATCTTCTGAACCCAAATTTTGGCTGATTTCTTTTGCTCTGCCACAGCTTTCCCTTCCCTCAGCCCCAACCTTAATCCTTTTCATTCAATAAATGCCTAAGAAATATGCATCCTAAACACTGTGCTAGCTGCTTGGAATTTTTTTAAAAAGACGAAAACATATAGGCTCTGCCTACAAGGAGCTCATAGTCCATTAGGAGGAAAACCATGACAGCAAATAACATGAAACAATGTCACAAGACCAATGACAGACAGCATAGGAAATCCTGCGAAGACCACAAGCCTAGGGGAGAAAGGGTACTCTGAGAAGTCTTCCTGGATGAGCTGACACTTGATTTCAATATCAACAGGCATGCATGTGGAAGAAGCATGAGGATATCTAGAATGCTCCATCTTCCACAAAACCACCAGGAGAGTTTTGTGAAAACACAAATTAAGTTCTACCCCAGTCTCTGAGGCTCAAGAATTTGTATTTCTAATGAGTTCTCTGAGACAGGGCAAAAAAAATAATAATAAAGTAAGAGTTGGCACAAAATGAAGTAGGAGTTGGATAAGAGGTAGGCCCTGAATAGAATTTTCTGCTGTGTTAAAGAAACCAGGCTATGTTTATCCTGAAAGATACTAGAGAGATGGACTAAAGGCTTTAGTTTGTTCAGATTTACTGTAAAATATGATGGCTATTTTTTTTATTGCAACATGAAAAATTAACAAGAAGATATTAAGTGTGACAATGGTTATGGCAATAGACGACAATGCTTGAAGGAATGTATTTATAATAGGAATGGAGGGGAGGAAAGCTAATGAAGAGACCTATGCTGTAGAATCAGAAGACTTCATGACATTAGCCAAGAGAGATATGGGAAAGGAAGCATAGTCTTGGAAGACTGGATGGAGGGTGGCACCACTGTGATCTGAGAGACTCCTTTAACAATCAAGATAGACCCTAAAGTTAAGGAAACAAAGCTACTTATGGATCACATGGAGGGTTCAGGGCCTAGCTGGCATGGCAAATTTTCAAATCCCCAGGACTATAAACTCCCTAACAATAGGAAATATCAGACCCCTCCTAACTCTGATTTACAGCTCAGACCACTACGCTCTGATTGGACAGAGAATCTGCCTACCTTAGGCCAGTTTCAGCCAGCTTATAGAGGCTGCACACAAACTGTATTTGTGCCCTATAGTTCTCTTTTTGTTGTAAAGTGCCAAATTCTACCTAATTTTAATGGTAAAGCCTCACCCCAAAGTGAACATGAGATGTATGTTACTGCACTCATCTCTCCTCATAATTATGTACAATTTTCCACAAAACCTGCTGAAAATATATGACTATATTATATGATACAGACCCTGTGAGGCATAAAACCCAACCTGTCCTGCCCCTCTTTGAAGAGACCACCTTAAGCACACATCAGAGACTCTCTCCTCCAGTTTGCTCTGCAAACTAGTATCATCAATAAGGCTCTCCTTTCTACTATTTAAACATCCTACTGGTCTTTTGGATCAAATCACTAAAGAGAGAAGCCAAAAGGGGGAGGAAAGGTTCAAAGATTCCTTAAATAACATGACAGAATTGGTGGAGTAGGCTTCTTTGGCTGGGAAGTATTTGAGCACATCTAAAATGGACAGAAAGGTAGTCATAGAAAGAGAAGAATGAAGATATGGGAGAGCAAGGGAATGACTTGAAGGTTTCTGGCTGGGGCAGAAATGATGGGGTCAAGTGCACCAGTATATGGCTGGGCTTTGAAGGGGGAGGTATCCATCATCCTCTGAGTTGGCCAAAAAGGAGAAGGAAAAGGTGTGGATTTACATACATTTATAGATGAAGATGGTGAAGCGAGATCTCAGTGATACCCTCAATTTCTTGATTAAAAAAGGCGAGGTTCTATCCACTGAGGATGAAGGGAAGTTATGCAAACTGACATTCAGTTCCACACATTCTCCAAAGGACCACTGGGGAGCTAACTATGCTTAAGCTCTGACATGTTGATATAGGAAGAATGTTATTTTATTCAACTTAAATTGCATGACAACTTTTGGTCTTTCTTATTTCATTCCTCCCCCAGTCATGCATTATGCCAGTTGTGATCATAAGAACACAAAGTAATAGGAAAAACTTTTATAAAATGACAAATAATTGTTCATATGTTCAAAATTATTATTAATGTACTTCAAATGTGAATTTCTTGCAATTAAGCTACTGGTTCATTAATACCTTTTGCAGAGCCTCTTCTGTTTTTTCAGGGTTTGTTTTGAGGGCTTGAGAAGCATCATACATAGGAATTGGCATAAATCTCAATGTGTAGTTCCTACAAAAAGGAAAGAAAAATAAGCTCATTTTAAAATAATTTTCTACTACCTTAATTCTGCACTCTTTTTTTAAATCCAAAAGAAGAGTTCCAAGAGTAGTTTAGAAAATTCTAAATCTTAGGCCCCCAGATTGCAGAATTGCCTTCATTAATATCCACATGTGCATCACCACAGGCAACCTCATTAGTTCATACGGCCTTACAAAACTGACACAACTTTGAGGAATACAGTTTTAATGTTTTGTTTTCAGTTTTGAATTTCAGCAAGGACGGAATGTTCATATTGGGACCAGAAAGATGAACTGAGAGAAAGTCTAGGAAAAAGGCCCAGCACCAACTTGCTACATGGGTTTTAGTAGACAATAGAACTGAATGTACCTGGTCATCACAGTGATTATGTGTGACAGCCAGACCCAAACTGGTTGAGAAGAAAAGCAAAAAATAAAAACAAAACATTTGCTTGCAAAGCAAAGCCATTAGCATCCACAAAATAGTCTATTCAGTCTCTGGGTTCCTTAAATAAACAAGACCAAGGCAAAGGATTGTTTCTACAAAAGCTGCTGGGAAAGGGTTGGATGCCTGACTAAACATCATGATCTCTGTGGGTCTTTTAGGCTGGCATTCAAGATCAGCCCAAGTACACCAAGCTCTAGAAACCAAACAAAGCAACCGTGGAATGCTGTGTCTATATATTATCTCATTGCTATTGGCAGGCTGATCAGACACAAAAGTGCAGAGGTGAGTCATTTGTGTGAGGAAAACTCACAGAACTCTGAATCTGGTCCCTATTCTTTGATCCTGACCCTAATACAAACTGCTGTGTACTCAGATGACCACTCACACCTGCTCCCCTGTCGCAAGCTCTAGCATCAGAGATGTCTTTTCTTCCCTATCCCCAAATCCATCTGTCCATTTCTACAACACAGCACTCAGGAAGGATGACCTTCAGGCCACTTGTTGGCAACTGGGACATCTACTGGAAAAGTAAATTAACAACTAATTCCTAAAATAAAGCATTAATAATAAAGAAAACAATCATCTTAATAATAATAGTCTAGATGAGTATAATTTAATGCAAAACATATTGACCCAATCCAACTTATAGGATGGCTTAATGTAAATAACCAGAGAAAGCAGTAATCTCTATAATTTAAATTTTTATGTTAGCCTTGTTTTAGTAAAAATTTTTTTGTTTGCCTTAAGAGAAGTCAGCTAAATGAAGTTAAGAGATAATACAACTTTTTTACAGCCTTGAAATTGTTCCTTTCCCTTATCCAATTTTTATCATGTTATAGACCAGCATAATTTATTTAAACCAAATGTGATTTTGAAGCACTGGCATCTTGGAGCAGAGCGTACACTATAGAGTGGGGTCCAGGGAGCCCTATCATCAATCTGCAAAGGTTGAGTATTGGGTGTGCTTCTCCCAAACACCAGTCTGGGCAGGCAGTCTACAACATCCAGGTAGCAACTGTGCCTCTAGCACCCAAATGCAGCCAAATGTAAATAAATGTTCCCATTTGAGGCTTTGTGGTAACAGGAGTAACCATAGGTGGTTCTGTAGTCATGGAAGGCTCTAGGAGAGGTGGCCATGGAGACCCCAGGATGAGTCTTTAGTGATGGCATTCTCTTTAGTGATGGCATCGGGTCAGTACAGAAAAAAGAGTGATTCTGCAGTGGCAGGACTGTGACTTACTGGCTAAAGAAGAGCCACAGCAGCCAGAATTGGAAGGCACTCATAGATCATTTACTCCAATCCTCTCACTTTATTAAAAAAAAGAATTAATCAGAGAGGTAAAAAGCTTAGATCAGTCATAGGCTTGTTGGTGGAAGAGCTGAAGACTGAATGGACAGCTTCTATTCTCAGTCTAGGGTTGCCTCTACCGTGTCAGGCATATGAGCTCCTCCTAGGAGGCCTCATACATAGAAGGAATCTGGTAAAACACAAAATCATAAGCACGTCCTGCCCTTTCCCAGGGAAACGGCTTCTTTGTTGTTTGTCCCTTATTTCCCAACCACATTTTACAGCTTCACTTTTTTTTTTTTTCAGTAGGCATCTCACTCTATTGCCCAGGCTGGAGTGTAGTGGCACACTCATGGCCACTGCAGCCTCGACCTACTAGGCTCAGGCAATCCTTCCATCTCAACCTTCCAAGTAGCTGGAACTACAGGCACGTGCCACCACACCCAGCTAATTTTTTGATTTATTGTAGAGATGAGGTCTCACCAAGTTGCCCAGGCTGGTTTCAGGAGGACTGCATGGGCTCAGGCAATCCTCTCACCTCGGTCTCCCAAAGTGCTGGAATTACAGACATGAGCCACAGTGTCCAGTCGCTTCACATTTTTAATGTTATGCATCTACTTTGACCATTTCTGCCTTTATAATATAATATGAGGACTAAAAAACCCAGAAAGAACCAGATTCCTAGCTTTATTTTCAACCATGTCTAGTATTACTATTTCCTCATTTAGTTTACTGACAAAGGAAATTTGACAATAAATAATGATAGCAGGCTTTAGTTACTAAAGCAATAAAAAAAAAAGCCCTTTATAGTAATGAGACAAGTTAGCCTTGGGCTCACCATTTATCAATTTCACCTTCATTTTCTGGACCCCAGTTTTCTTCTCACCAATAGATTCCAAATTGTCACAACAGGCAGAAGAGCAACAACACTCAGTGGAAATAGATGGTGAAACCCACAAAAGGAAAAGGAAACAAGGCAACCATCATGTGGCCTCTTCCCCATGATCTCATTTAAACTTCAGGACAGTGTGGTGTCTTTGGTAGAAGAGGCATCTCTGCCCTCATTTTATTCATGAAGAAACTCCCATCAAAAGAAAGTCAATGTCTTCCAAGATCCCGTGTCCGGTTAGCAGTAGACTAAACTCAGACCCATATCTTGTGATCCCCAATCTATTGTTGTTCCTATAACCCCACAGATAACCCCACAGATAACACAGGTAACCACCGGTTCTTTTGTATTTTTCTAGAAAAGAATCTGAATTAAAACTTACTTTTCCATAGCAACAGCTATATCTTGAAAGCCTTGGGCAGTGATGTTGTTCTTGTCCCATATTACTGTCCTGTTTGAAACCAAATCATATAAATGATAAGACACAGGAATGGAGGAAATCACTCTCCCACTGAATATAAAGCTCTCATAGACAATACTGTCCAAATATTTCAGTATAGCAGCATTATGTGAGCAAGGAACAGTGTTCATCTTTGTTTTGAACAAAGCAAGGATACACTAAGCATTTCCCAACATCATACACAAACACACACACACACACACACACACACACACACACACACACACACACACACACACAAATGCATATGTAAAAGGAGACAGGGTCTCACTGTCACCCAGGCTGGAGAGCAATGGCATGACTATAGCTCACTGTAGCCTCAAACTTGTGGGCTCAAGCAATCCTCCCACCTCAACCTCCCAAGTAGCTGGGACTACAGGTACATGCTACCATGCCTGGCTATTTTTGTGTGTGTGTGGTAGAGATAGGGATCTCATTATGTTGCCCAGGCTGGTTGTGCAGCCTCCTGGCTTGACTGGTCTCCTGGCCTTATGTGATCCTCTCACCTTGGCCTTACCTTGGGATTATAGGTATGAGCTATGGCGCTTGGCCCCAATAGTATAACACATTTGCTGCTCGAATTCTGTGGAAAAACTGTATAAAAGCAATAGTGTCGGGCATGTGGTCACACCCCTGTAGTCCTAGCTACTCAGGAGATCAAAGTAAAAGGATTGCCTGAGTCTAGGAGTTCAAAGTTGCAGAGAGCTATGGTCAAACACTGCATTCCAGCCTGGGTGACAGAGAGAAACTCTCAAAAAAAAAAAATGCTTTAAAAGAAAAAAACAAACAAAAAGCAATAGCACATATTGCTTACCATTATATTATCCAACTTTTATCAGCCAGAAAACTCTAAAGCCTTATTTTACTCGTATTCTCCCAATAGTATTCTCATATTCATGTCTGAGGCTGAAGCTACTTACAAAAGATGCTAGAGTCCCATGCCCAACATAAAATTTCAGTTACTAAGGTATTTTTTTTCTTTTTCTTTTTCTTTTTTTTTTGAGTTGGAGTCTCACTCTGTAGCCCAGGCTGGAGTACAGTGGCAGGCTCAAGGCCACTGCAGCCCCAACCAACTGGGCTCAGGCAATCCTTCCACCTCAGCCTTCCAAGTAGTTGAAACTACAGGCACGTTCCACCATGTCCAGCTAAATTTTTTTATTTATTACAGAGACAAGGCCTCACCAAGTTGCCCAGGCTGGCCCCTGGACTCAAGCAATCCTCTCGCCTCTGTCTCCCAAAGTGCTGGTATTACAGGCTTGTGCCACTGTGTCCAGCATTTTTTTCCATTCTAAAACACTAAAGAAAAATCTGTCCTATTTCCTTATGTTTTCATCATTTCCCTGGCTTGGAATAATTAATAATCCTAGGAATGTCTTTACTCTGCTGGCAAAACATCAGTCACTATAAATAGGAGGTTGTTTATTTTTAAACACACTATCTATTTTGGGAAAAAGAAATTGTTTTACCTTCAGAATGTATATACTTCAGAGATATTTAGGATTTGTCAGTTCACCCTGACATATAAAATAGCTTTTTTTTTTTTGGTCTGGATAATCCCAGACTTACAACATTTATTGCTTTTCCTTCCTAATCTCATGACCTTCTTTACGCATACACTGACCTTCAAATAAATTGTTCTTGTTTTTGGCATCAGTTTAGAACATCCAGACTCTGTCTTATGCCAGAGAGTAGAAAACATCACAAAAGAACTCTTGAGAAGCAATGTGAATTAACTCCTCATTCACCAAACTGCTGGACTAGCTAGTAACCCCGATCTCTTTGATGATGGATGACACTGGGGTGACCATGTTACTAGTCTTTAAACCACACTTGGGAAACACTAACGATGAAAACTGCTAAAAAGTTAGCACCCAACGTGCTAACTTGAATGTGCTAAATTGCGCCTAAACCAATGAACTTCTTGTGCCCTTTGTGTTTTAAGTGTTTGTATTGGCAGAGGTGTGGAGAGGAGTTAAGACCTCGGGCTCAGAACAAAGTATGGGAAAGCCCTTCATGTCAGTACTTCACAAGGCCCAGCTCTGCTCACTTAGTGCTGCCTCTAAGACGCTCCTTGCTTCTTACAGCCTTTACCCTCACATTGGTCAGCTGTAAACAATGATGTGAAACAGGAAACTGCATCAGTTCTCAGTCAGTTTTTACTTCACAACAGAACTATAAGACAACAGCTTGAAGGAATTGCTGTGTCTAAAGTTGGGGTCATCTTCCCCACTGTTCTGACAAAAGATTTGACACTGTCACCTCTTCTTCCAAGCTGGGCTCATGGGAAGCCCAAGTTCTCCTTGGGCACGCAGTTCTCCTGTGTGTATTGTCAGAATCTTCTCCAGGTCTTCCTCATAAGGAATATCTACTTCTCAGGGCCGAGGGCGGGATCTGCCTACCTGAGTTTAGTGTTGATCTGCAGTGCTTTGGCCAGCATCTTTGCTCCCATGTCCCCCATTCCATTCCCACTAATGTCCACTTTGGTCAGGGAGGTGTTGCTTCCCAGGGCATTAATGATGATGGTAACCTCGGTCTTGAGTTTTGAGTCAGCCAGGGACAAGGACTGCAGAGGCTGCGGAGCAAACAACAGACAGCACTCAACAATCTCATCAAAGTGGCAACCACGACCCATTTCATGGAGAAATACAGGGGATGAACCCATTACACAATGCCTTTCTTTGGAACTGCTATCTAAAAGACACTGATAGATGGAACTTGAAGGTTCTGGCAGAAAATGGACCTTTGGAGTCAAACTTGGAGAATTTGTGTTTTAATGTTGAATACCTGCCACTTCTTTTCTAAGGGAATTCATGGAAAGATATATAGAGTGACAAATACCAGCTTTGTTTAAGTGGAGGTCAAAAAGGAGATAAATAACAACATAACACAAACATTTCTCAATTTCCATATTATTACACTGTCCCGTTTTGCCCTTTTTTTTTGAGTTGGAGTCTCACTCTATCGCCCAGACTGGAGTGCAGTGGCACGCTCCTGACCACTGCAGCCTCGACCTGCTGGGCTCCGGCGATCCTTCCGCCTCAGCCTTCCAAGAAGCTGGAACTACAGGTGCACGCTACCACGCCTGGCTAGTTTTTTATTTATTGTAGAGACGAGGTCTCGCCAAGTTGCCCAGGCAGGTCTCGAACCCGAGGGCTCAGGCAATCCACTCACCTCGGCCTCCCAAAGCGCGGGATTACAAACTGAGCCACCAAGTCCGGCCCCATTTTATTTTTACAAGGTGAAATGACACCTTAAAAACTAGTAGAGTGTAAATACAAAATAAAAGACAACCAAGACTAATAATAAGTGGCATAAGTGATGATTATTTAACAATTATTATGTTTAACCACTGTTTAAGCTTTCTGCATGTATTAATTCACTTAATCTTCCTACTAAGCCAATACTTAGGTACTATTGTTATCCTTATTTCCCAAACAAAGACACAAAAGTTAAGCGACTCAACCAAGTTCACATAGTTAGAAAGTACTCCAACTGGGATGGGATTCAAACCCAGATTCCATGTTCTTAATCCTACACCCCATTCCCCTTATTAGCTTATCCTACATCCTTTTTATCGCATACCTTAACTTAATCTTAAGTATCAATCAGAAGATATATCTGCAATTTTTTAAAAAGTCAAATTTGTGTGATCTTTTTATTTTACTGCAAGCTGTATGGTGAATCCAAACCAGCCTACTCATTGTCCAGTTAAGCCAGAGACTGAAAATGATTCAGCCTGGAGGTAAGCTCTGCTTGGCCTACATAGTAGCTGACCAAAAAAAAAATTTAATAGGGTGTTCCATACCTAGCTCATTGTACTTGCTTACATTGCCTTCCTGGTGCAGTGTGCATTTGGGTTTGCAATCCTCCACTTAAGCCATAATTCAATGAAGTGGGTAAGAATGCTAGGTTAGTCATGCTGAACCAGTGTGGCTTTAAAATTCAGAATTCAGACTTCCTTGGGAAACAGGGGTGTCCTCTGGGTTAGCTGAGGTGATCTATATTATCCTAGCCACACCAAACAATTCTATATGCTTATTGCATAAGCAGTCCCAATATTACAGGGAGGTGGATGTTGAAAGCAGATTCTGGACCATTACTACTCTGGCATGGCCACATGCTTTTTGAGCTATGGCCTTCGCCATCTTTCCTGGCTTTGGTCCCCTCTCCTACCTTGGGAAGGTGAATCTCCTCTTTCTCTCTAATGTACTTTTAAGATAAACTATGTTTTCTACTCTTAAAAAAAAAAAAGCAAGAAAATTCTGGGATTATCTATGAACAAATCCCCGGTGAAGGGGCTCTCAAGATGTGCCTGGGTAATCTACAACATGGGGTAAATACAGCATGGGGTGTATCTGTATCAGTTTAGCGACTCAGCATTGACTTGCAAAGCAACACCTGTGAGAGGGGCACTAGAAAACCACTGTAGAAGACAAGATGAGAGTCATTGTGTTGGGCTAGTCCCTATTTTCCTTATCCAGTTTGACCAAGGTTTGCAAACTTAATACATTAATGGTAAAATCAAAAGGTAATACTGTGTTAATTAGAGTCAAACTCATAAAAATTAACTGGTCTGGTAAGTGCTGAGGCAAGTAAAACCTCAACCAAATGGCCTGCATATGTTTAAACTCAGGTAAGTTTAGTGAGATTGCTTCAGTTTTCTTATCCTACATTCAGGTAAATGGGGGAAAAAAACAACTAAAAATCCTTTAGACTCAGAAAATTTGATGTCTAAAACAAATACAAATGCAATATTGCTTTAATAAAATGTTGTAATCACATCTCTCGTTATTTCAACAACCTCTATGCAACTACTAAAAAAAAATGATATATTAGAACTTCGTCCTAATACTAGAAAACTGCCAAGTCTCCAAGTTAGCGAGCATCAATTCCAGGACTACAATTCAAATTCTAATACACCCCAGTTAACACTTAAAAATAATAGGAAGAGTCATTAATGCGAACAGAACAGCCTGAATTGCATGCATATTTATAAGGTCATCCCTTCTTGATTTATTGCACTTCCATGTAACATTACTATTTGAAATCTTACTATTTCTTTTTTATAGCTGAACATGTTTAATCTGTCTCCTGGCTACAGGCACTCCCAGGAGAAACACATTCTGTTCTATGGTTACAACATAGGTTTATATGTAATACTTCAGAACAAGATTCCCTGTCATCTGGCCCCTAAATGTTACCATCCCACGACTCTGGGTGCAGCAGCCTGAAAACCACTGTCTATAGCTGAAGGTGACACCGGAACCCACAGGCATCTAGGTTTTTCAATAGAACATAAAGTGCAATACTGGGTGAATAAGGTATTCCATGAACTGTCAAAGAACAAGTTCTACAAACACAAGGTCAGAATGTAAAAGCAAAGACATTACTTTTATATATGTAAAATACTTGAATGTAAAACAAAAAAAAGAGTCCAATTATACTGGTTATTCATGAAATTTCTGTAGTCACAAGAATCAACTCCTAATTATTTTATATTGTTTTACACATTACTGATTTAGAACTAGAAAAAAGGTAATTGCTTTCTAAAAAGCCACCTACTTTTCAATGACATGAACATAAAAAGCTTTTCGTTGTACAGCATTATTAGCAACATATTATTTAAACTTACAACTTGACAGAATTCACATTTACAAAGCAAACTTTGTCATCTGCAAATATGATTTTAGATGTGTTTTAACTATCAAGATTATCTTTAAGAGATTTCCAAAGCTGTAGACAGTTTGAAAATCCTTGTCTAATAAGGAAAACATAAAATTTACACAATTTTTTATAAAAATATATATTTTCCTAGAATATGTTCTAAGAAACAAATATTTGAGAATGAATATTAAGTATAATTCTGCAATATTGTCTTCCCCAATCTTTTAAAACTGGACCAATACTGGAAATAAGAAACTCAAATAAAGCAGAGTGACGCAAAGATAAGTTAAATATGCAAAACAAACAGTATGAACTCTGAAAAGTATAAATTATATTTTAATTATACTCCTAATTTTAATATCCCAGCATAAAACTAACAAAATGTGGAGTTCATTAGCAAATGAGGACAAAGAGAAGTGCTGAATTCATTAAATAGTAATGAGTTCCATTTTCTAGCCCACAGGTTGGAATTTACATCCACTCAATGCAGAGGGAAGAGAACAGAGTTTTCTCCTGCCCACCAACTCAGAACTCTCAAAGATGTGTATAAGAGCAAGTGAGAAAATGTCTCAGTGTTCATTCTTCCTGACCCTTTAAGCTTACTCAGAAGAGCTACCTTACAGTTGTAATGAAATTTACTACTTTCTGTGTGAATTCAAAAAGGAAAACACTATTTTTTCAAAATGTGGCATACCTCAGGTGATTAACTTAAACAATCACTCACATGCCTTTAAAAAGTAGCTATAACAAGACAAGAATAGTAGGAATACAAATTGATTTAGGTTTTTTGGAACCGTAAAGGTTGAGGAGTTTGTTGACTTTGAGAGGAAAGGGATAAACTCTTAAAGAGCATCAGTGAAATGCAAAGTGTGACATGCTAGCTCTAAATTAAATAGATTCATGGTAGAGTGCTTCTGACTTTGTCCTCCATAAAATACCTTTTCTGTTTTCTAACGCATTTTTAAAGGGCAGCAAAACAGAACACTATTTGAAATTAAGCTTCTTTTCTCTGAACTAAATCTTGGTTAGGAGCAACTAAAGGGGATAAAAATATAAGGAGGGTTACTAGAGTTCAAGAAGTAGTTTAAGATTGAGGAAAACTTCCTTAATCTCTTGTAATTCTACATAATTATTAGATGAAATTCAAATTAGCAATATGATATTTCTCAGCAGGATATAAGGTCATAATGTCAACCAGTCTGTAAAAATTCATGCCTGCAGATTAATTTATTAGCTGAAGTTAAGAAATAGCAAGGCTAATTAAAAGACAGGCTCACCAAAAAAAAAAAAAGGCTCAGGAGTCAATTTATACTTCTTTTAATCTATTAGTTAAAATCTTCCTTTAATTGGTAGTGAATTGGATAAAGAATAAGTACATTTTTAAATATATTCAACAACTCTACTAAAGCATAAACATTGATTCCATTTTTCTAAAAAAACAGAAACAGAAAATATACACATTAATAAAATTATCTGAAAGCATTTTAGCATTAATCCAGTAGAAATAATCAGTAAAAATGGCAACAAACAAAAGATTTTAGTCAAACATGTTTAAAATAATACTCACTGATTCTTCATCTTGAATCATCTGTACTAAGTTGTCCAATACAGGTGTCAGATTTCTAAAGAGATTTTAAAGATGTGGACAGTGGAATCAAATCAAAAGCTTTCAGGAGGCTGGTTATTTTCATCATTTTCATATAAAAAAATTCAAAACTCTTACTTGGATTTCATATTATTAAAATTTTTGCCTAACGCCAGGTGTTGTATTGATCTGTTTTTACTGAGCCACACTATTAAGGTAGATAGGTCAGACTCTAAACCTGGAAAGAATCAGAGTAAGTAGAATCAAAACACATGTGTATAAATGAATTCTCAGCTGGAACACAATTAAGCAAATGTGGTGTGCAGTTGGATGACTTCCTTTACCCTCCTGAAGGCCCTGGGATGCTAATCTTGTCTTTTCAAAGGCACTCTGCTCTCTTTTCATGTTCTATTATTTCACAGAGATAAACTCATTCTCCACAAACACTTATCTAAATCTCTTATACAATCAGTGGCTAAACAAAGTCAGCAGAATTGGGAATGAATAATGGCAGAAAGTTTCATCTCTCCCTATCACTATATGAAAAAAAGATTCCAACAAACTGTTCACTGGGAGGTAACTGGAGTTAAAGTTGTCTATGCAAATTTAACAGGTTCATACTAATATGGTACTAAAATCAGCAGAAACAAAGCTAATGAAATAAACTTCTAAATAAATAAACAAGAGTGCAATTTTATCTTCAAGAATGCAAAAGGTTATGCTCCGACCTTTATCAATGTACTGATGATATTTTTATAATTGAGTTGTTTACTGCATAGATCTTGCATAGTTGGCCAGGGACTTAGTAAAACTTTGGCACAGATTTATTCTATAAATGAACTCTATGTTTTGTTAAAGATGTGGGGTATACTTCAGGGTTAGATATACAAATGGACATTGTACAGGTAAAGTTTGGGCCTCATTTTGGACTTCATCTGGTTTGAGATCGGGTACTCTTATTGATGCAGTGTCCCCTCCCAGCCTAACCCCCGACCCCAGTTTCCCACTACTGCCATCTACTGTTAAATTTAAAAGCCTTACAGTCAAGAAATGAAATAGTATTTTTATTAAGGTGTTGTCTAGATTAGGGTAGAAGATTATTTTCTCTTTAATTACTTGCTTCAAATAATATTTCCATTTCATTTCTGACTTCTGACTTACCGTTGTCAGAGATGTCTAAACTGGTGATGCTGTGGATTTCAGCGATGCAGCCTTCTAATACTTGAGCACCTCCTGATCTCAACTAGAAAAACACAAACCAAACATAAGGCAAACTCTCCACTCTACTGAAGGTGTTGAGAAAAGAGATAGAGACAATCCAGGCCCAGCACCAGCAAAACAGTACATGTCAATCAGAAGAACTTTCTTCATTTCTGACTTTTGGAAATACAACAAATCCCTTTCATACATGAGAAAGCTACTGTTTTATTTGATTATTACTGATTTCAGGGTATAAATTCACCACCCAAGTAGCAGCAAAACAAATAAAGGAGACGTTAACTTTGAATGTCCGCCGGGCTTGGTGGCTGCCTGTAATCCCGTGCCTTTGGGAGGCTGAGGTGAGTGGATTGCCTGAGCCCACGGGTTCGAGACCCACCTGGGCAGCAAGACCTCATCTCTACATTAAATCAAAAAATCAGCCAGGCGTGGTAGCGCATGCCTGTAATTTCGGCTACTTGGAAGGCTGAGGCGGAAGGATCGCCAGAGCCCAGCAGGTCGAGGTTGCGGTGGCCGGGAGCAGCCTCTGCACTCCAGTCTGGGCGACAGAGTGAGACTCCAACTCAAAAAAAAAAAACAAAAAAACTTTGAATGTCAAACACTTCAGGGAGGACCCATCCCTACCGGTTCTAAGGAAATAGGTATGAGGTCTAGATAACTGGAAATGATTACAAAATGATTTGTACAAATTCTTCAAGCCACAAGAAAAACAATGTAAATTAATAGAAAATATTCTGATGATTTACAGCAAAACTAAGAGTAAATTATTTCTTCATTTCCAAATTTATTCCAAAGAGAAAGACAACCTGAAACCCCTACTACAGTACTTTTCATATTTTCCCATGAAACCAAAGCATATTTTACAGAGGTCACAAAATCTTTTGTTTGTTTTTATTTGTTGAGTTCCTACTCTGTGTAAGGTGCTGTGAAAGATACAAGGTTTCCCAAGTTGTGGCCCTTTTGCTCAGTAAGATTACCATCTAATGAGAAAAAAGAAACTATCATTTATTGGAAACCTACTGTGAACCAAGGAACATGGCAGGTCCTTTATTCATGCAGGAAAATCAAATTTTTATAAATTGTGTTACCAAACTTATAATACATGGGGATATTTTCTACTTGTCTAAGTTTTGATATAAGAATTTTTAAAAATTCTCATTTCCCTATTTCAAATGCAATATTTTTATGGTGCCTTGAGCCAAAACCTGCTAACTTCTCTGGTCTTTTGTATGTTAAGTCGAGATCTGCACAGATCATTGGGACTGGCATGTTTACAATTAATTGTCTGCTTCTTCTTTCCTTTTCTTTTCTCTCTCTTTTTTTTTTGGAGACAGAGGCTTACTATGTTGCCCGGGCTGGTCTTGATCTCCTGAGTTTAAGTAATCCTTCCACATCAGTCTCCTGAGTATCTGAGATTTACAGGCATGTGACACTGCACCTGGCCAGTTCTACTTTTTAAGGTGACAGTAGATTGCTCTAAGGTGAGCATCACAGAGGTAGACCTCTCAAAGAGACTGGTCTTCATACTTCAGGGAAACCAAGACCAACTCCACAGCTAAAGAGTTTCTAACCCAGGTGTGTGTGGTCACTACAGGAGTAAGCGCCAGGCCCATTTCACTATACTCGGTTGTGTTCTCAAGAGCTTTCCAGCTTACCTAAATGCTCCGTCGAGCCTTTCTCATCATGTCACCTTAGATTTTCCCCAGCTCCCTGCCACCCAAAGTGTGGTCCACAGACTGATGTCAGTCTGCAGTTTGTTATTAGTCTGAGATGAATAAGTACAGAAATTGAGTATAAATATTTTAGAAATCTTAATAGTAAAAATGTTAGGTCTGTTACAGATGCATAGAATAATAAAAACTGAGGGTTTGCAAATTTTATGTCTTTCTAAACCTTTCTAGTGCTTCATTCTTATTATATTTTATAAAAGTATTGGTTTATGATAGATTGGAAATTTAAAACCAAAACAAAAAAAGAAAAAGAAAAATGCCATTCTTCACTGAAGATAAAAAAACACTGCTCTAGGTCACAGCTTATTAATACTTTAAGAAGTACATGTGTACATAGACTATGTTAAAATTAAAGTAAGAACTCATTTAAGCAAACATTTCAAAAAAACCCATAATTTGATTTTCAGAGCATGAATACAAGTATGCTTTTAGAAGATAAACATAAGTTCATAAGTCTTTACAATTTCAAATTTGCTGATAGTGATTTCTTTCCTGATAAATAAAATTTCTGCAAGAAAATCTCTATGTTCTATCACTGTACAGTCAAAATATTCCACTTATGAAGATGGAAAACACAGATAACATTTAAGTGTTTGAGTCTGTTTATTTTATGAATACTCTTTACTAAGAATATTTGTAGCACATTCAGATAAAACTAACATATACTTTCCAATGCTTATAAAAAACCAAATATATCAATATATCCTAATTTACTGATTCATAAAGTACTTACACAATGGCCAAGCTAAGGAAAGCCCAAGGAGGGGGAAAAAAAAAAAAACCATTATCAGCAGTAAATTGAACAAGAATAGAGAAAAGGCCGAAGTCTCGATCAATATACAATACAAAAAAAGCAGAGTCAGAAAAAAATACACTCAACTAAAATTTGGTCCTGAAACAGAAATCAAAAATTTAAATAAGAAAATAACTGATCTTTAGTAACTAAGAACATTCACTTGAAGTCACAGGTTATTAAGTGCCTAAAATTCCCCAAAAGCTAAAGCTTTCCCAACACAGTAAAAGCCTTTCCATTACAGTAAATGAAAATCCTTTTAAATAAATTTGCATAATTAGAGGCTGTGTCTGTATGAGTGCATGTAAAACTGGTTTTTAAATTACCCTTATTTGGATCGCACACACTAACATTACTTAAAAGAAAGCAAGATCAAAGAGAGAAGTAAATGTGACTGAATTACTGAACGCTTTTTGAAATGTTAAAAATAAAATTACATTTCTTTCAAGAGTGTAGTGTCCTCTCACTTAAGGAACATGGAACATTCAGATGTTACTCATAATTCTAAGAGAAAAGTTATGTCTAATATTCAAGTACCTGTAATGGGAATACCAATAATAAATTTCCCAAATAATAATGATGTTTGTATTATAAGAAAGCAAATCCATAAGTTATAGATACCAGTAGGGAATTTTTTTTTTAATAGTATGAAAACTAAACCATGGAAAACTAAAATCTCAAGAGAACTTTTAATAATGCACTTTGCCGCCTCAAGATCATCTGCCATTTAAAAAGATATGGCATAAATATAAAGTTAAATTAAAAATGACCCCCAAATTATCTGCATTTCTTTTATAGGGGTTTCAGTTTTAATTTTAAAAAATTAGTTTTTATCCTAGGAAATTTTCACACATAACCGAATGGTATAGGTTTCTCCAAGGACAGAAAAAATGATTAGACAACATTTAGTTCAAAATATCCAATTGTTAGCAGGGTTTGATACCAAATACAATCTAGCACCTAAGAAAGAGGTATATAAATAGCCACTTTCAGGGCACAAATAGTTAAATATATTTTCTCACTTCATATATGCATCCTATCACAGGAAACATTTACAGTTTTACAAATTTCATACCTGGCCTGATAGGAAAGTGACAGGCAAAGGACACAATGATGTTCACCTTATGACTGGCTGAATGACAAACAGCAGAATTGCCTCAAAGCTTCCATTCACCTGCTGCAATGTACTACTTACTACAAATATCAATCTCTGGTGCTTTTTTCCTACTCATCCTCAATTGCAATGAATTTTGAAATCATCTGCATACAAGTTTCTGCCTAAAGGAACTAACTCCTACATCCAATCTGCAACTATAAATAGCCTTTGCATCTTCTCTGACATTATCAGAAGTGTTTCCTCTCTCGCTTGGAAGGAAACTTAAGTTTGAAGAATTTAGTTCCAGCATTTACCAATTCTCCTCTTGAGGTACGACATGAAATCTTAAGATTTAAAAAAACAGACCATAATCCATTGCCTCCTTTCAGATAGTAGGGTATGTAGGGAGAATACACATGAATCATTATCACATACTACCACATAAAAGTTTTAAAATTCTTTTAGAACTAACCCAGATGGCAATGGAACACCAACATTTCTTTGAACATATATACTGATGCTAAGTCCTTACCCTCTGAGAATTAATCACAAGTCATTCAGAGACAAATCTGGCCAAGGAGGGTAACACTGTTGTGTCAGAAAATCAGGTTTCAAGAAGAATTAGTCTAACTAATAAAAGTTCAGGAGACTAACACTTCTTGAAATATGCAAAACAGCTTTGAAGGCAACTACAAAAAATGTTCCGGTAAAGATGGAGTATCTATAAAGCTGCCTAATAAAAATTTTTAGAAAGACACTGTGGACCTATACTGTGAATTCTGACATTCAAAATGAAACTACTTCATAGTAATCCTCTTCCTCCCCAGATAATGGCTCACATATGCTGGGTCTGGCGCGGTAATCTTGTGCCAAACGCTAACACTAAAAACTGTTACTACCCCCATTTAACAGATGAGAAACAAAGACTGAAAGGAAGTTAAGTCACCTGATAAACCAAGTAACTGTGTTTCAAAGGGCATTTTCTGATCCCAAAGTTCTGCCTTTGGCTATGACACTCTTTTGCCTCCCATAAGTACTTCCATCATTTTCCTATGCAAAAAAGACTTCTTTTCAGTAATAAAAGACAAAGGGAAAGAAAATGAAGTGATAACAATGTGAAATGCCTTCAGGAGTACAAATTTTTTTTTTCTTGAGTCAGGGTCTCACTGTCACCCAGGCTGGTGTGATGACCAGAACTCACTCCAGTCTCAAACTCCTGGGCTCAAGTGATCTTCCCACCTCAGTCTTGCAAGCAATTAGGACTACCAGCACTACCAGCACACACCCCCACACTTGGCTTTTTAGTAGAGACAGAGTCTTGCTATATTGCCTAGTCTGGTCTCAAACTCCTGGCCTTAAGCGATCCTCCTGCCTCTGACTTCCAAAATCCTGGGACTACAGACAAGAGCCACCACATCTGGTTCAGAAGTTTTTTTTTCTTTAAGTATAAAAGTTTTCTGTAAATGCAGGCTAATTTCAATACATATTTACCTTAGTCATCGTCGATCTAAAAGAATATAGACCAAAATTTTGGATTTAATTTTGTGAATAACAATGTATGCATCATAAGAAAATAAGGTCACAAATTATAAATGCCAGCAGGGAATTTTTTTTTTTTAAATAGCATTGAGGCAGTTTTTTCTAGCTCAGTGGGATCAGGGTTCCCAAGCTGCTGTCAACGGATCTGTACTGCCAGCCTGAGACTCACGCAATGACCGGGGATGCAGTGGCATCGGGAGAAGAGATTATTCTCAAGAACTCGGAGGTGCCAATAGCAGCAGAGGCCCAAGGAGCCCCACTGGGTGTTAGTGCTATCTCAATTGGACTGGCTGTGAGCCAAGTCCTAAAAAATTGTTTACAGTTTGTTCATAGGGCTGGTGAGCCGAACCCCACCACCAGGAATGTTACAGTTCCATAGGTTAGGTGGGTGAGCAAGCAGAGTCCCCAAGAAGCATTGGAGCCCTTTCCAATTGACGGGGTCCAGCACTTCTAGTGCATCTAGTTCCAGGTTCTCGTCTCAAGCCTAAGACGAATAAGTAGTGTGGATCTAGTATTTCTAGTGCAGCTAGTTCCTTGTCTCAAGCCCAAGAAGACAAGGAGTGTGGACATCAAAAGCAAGCTTAGCAACTCTCAGCAGTGACAAGGGACTCAAAAGTCCACTATGAGGCTTAAGTCAGGAGTTTATAGGACTTTGCGGGGGAAGTGCATGTTGACTGGTTGAAGGGTAGCACCAATCAGAAGGAGGTACCATGGTATGGATTGAAAATGCACCAATCAGAGAGGGTTGAAAAGGGCCATTCAAGAAGAAGCAGATGAAAAAGGGAAGTCTACAGACCTGGAAATACACATTCTCACTCTGGTCTGCAGGGCTTAAAGCAGATACCTGAAACTCGCCCTAATCTGTCTGCCTATCTGGTTTCTTACTTCTCTCCTCTCTCAGCATGAAGTGTAAATCTTCTCTTTCATTCAAATTAATGAGTGTGAAATGCCTCTTTCAGGGGAATAAAGAAATACCCCAAGGACTACAAGCCAATTCACTAGGAAAGGTGAGAATGAACAGTAAGGGAAGCAGCATATGGTAAAAACAAAAATAATCCACTTAGATTAGCCTAAACTTCCTATTCAGACATTTTTAACTCCTACTTTAAGTCTACTTTCCCCTCTCTTCCCAATAATCACCACCACCATCTTCTACCATCATTTACCTTCCACAACCCTCATATAAACCTGATTATAAAATCAATCACTGATTTTTTCACCTACCAAGAAGATCAAAAATTCTAGAGAACAGATGTTTTATATTAAAGTTAACTACCAGTTTAGAAACTTAAGACTTTAAGGCATTTCACAATTGTTCCTTGTGTCCATGGCTTGAGTATACTGCTGTAGTATCAAGGTACCCAGAGGAGGTGCTCAGCTCTTACAGTACGGGCATCAAAAACTGCAGGACAGCACAGCTCAATACTCTCCAGCCCTAAGCTCCAGACATGTGACTCATCCTAGATCTGTCAAGTTCTCATCCTAAGTAAGCTATCCCTATAGAACTGACCTCCCAAGATGATTATAATGTCAGAGAGAAAGTTCATTCCTCAACATCTTTTGGGTTTTAGGATCAGAATTATCTGATCATCAGGGAAAGTTAAGTGCTGCATATGTCCATAATTTTGACTAGTATGCTAAGAGTGAAGAAGGTTTGTATCTGCTATGGCTAAATAGAGAAAGAGCTCTGTGAGAGGTGGAACTGAAATTGAACCTTCTCAGTTTTATTGTCAAAGCACGACATGGAGACTCACAGAGATCAGGGGAGTGAAGCAGTTCTTTTAATCTAATTCTTGCAAGAACAGGTAACTCTTAGGTGGGCAGTCACATGGAGGTGGTTACAGCCAACATATTTATTTCCTAACATGTAAGTCCCTCCCTTGGTTTCTCATTGGCTGAGTACCTCAGAGGTTACATTACTTTCCCAGATATCACCTACACAATAATTTTATACAAAGAAGGTAAAACACAAGCAGTTTCAACACAAATAAGGTAAAATACATGTTTCTAGATTCTGACAGGGTCTCAATGCTTGTCAAAGGAAGTCTGCCAAAAGAGAAACCCTGCCAAGAAAGAAGGAAGAACCAGAAAAGTATAATAACAACTCGCCATTTTGAATCACCATTTTGCTTCTTACAAGCAAAGAAAAAAAATATATATGCATGATTTTAAACTTCCAAGTTAGTGAAAGATTCTTTCTGAGAGAATTCTGAAATAGCAAAATAGCAAACACAGATGATTCAAAGACTAATGGTTGACAATCAAAGTGCAAGCATGCCAACATGAATTATATTATAAATCCAAACACTTTTGGGGGAAAATTTACTGTATCATGAAGAGAAGCAAACTGAAAAACCTAGTTAAATTTGGACATCTAGGCCTAAGAAACATAATGTAATGCAATAACATCGTTTAGAAAAACAACTTTGTGTTTCACCAGTTTTCATGAACAGTAATATGATGTATGACTTTATAAATGTGGTCAACTGTACTGTGATTCAAGCTGTAAGATGTGGGAGAATATGATACTAAGATACTTTTAAGACTTCCCCATCTCAGTACTATTAATAATAAATTTATTATATAATCCATAACTGAAAGGCCACAATGAACTTGGAATTATCATCATAATATAATGGTCAATCCCACTATCAGAGATTAATCACTTGACCGGGATTACTGTCTTAATTTTATAAATTATAAAATAAAAATCTACTAGTATTTAGGTGGAACTTTTTGAAATTGCCAATAGTCTAACATTTTTGCCATACAAAAATGTTAATTTTATACAGTTTATCTAATATAACTATATGAAAGTTATTCCCAATAGATCACAAAAGTAACAAATATATACAAATATAACTCAAGTGTTCATTGGCATATGGCCCTATCAATTTATTTGAGAATAAAATGCCCAATCATGCTTAATAATCTAATAATTACCACTGTTGGTATTATTATTAACAAGAGAAAATCAGGACAGCACATTTTCCGAATGGCTCTGCCTTTAGTGAGCTGGATTATTTCAGTTTCTTGAGACTGCAGTTTCTTCATCTATAACTATAGTAACCAGGTAATCACTTATGCATATTCTAGCATTATCATATAATTAAATGAAAGACTTTAAATGGGTAGAAGTCATCATATCTAATCAGGATAGTAAACCAAATTAGAAGTCATTTCTAATTTAGAAGCTTGGATTAAGCAGTAAAGTTTTTACCAACATGCTTTTTTTGATAGAATAACCTTTCTTATCTCTCTTCATCCCACAATTAAAATTATTATTAACAAGCCCCTTCCTAAAATGCTGGTAAACAAATAATTCATCTTACCATAGTTGGTTTCTACTTTATTTATAATCTGTCTTTACAAGATTTGCACATGAAAATTCCACAATGCAAGGTTAGTTTTTTAGGGATTTTTGTTGTTGTTATTGTCGTTGCTTTTCTCTGTTTTGGGGTGGGGGGGTTGCTTTTTTTTTTTTTTTTCAAACTAATAAGATAAGTAAGTCCTCAGTTTGAGATTAATGAAAAATCTTACACTGATAATTTATAAAGTACTATTTCAGACTTGTCAGTTTCTAGGATTTTCAAAGAGGCAAAGCCTTAATCTTATTCAATATTTGGTGTTGGCTTGGTGCCTGGCCTTTTGTGAGAAGCTAAAGAAAACACAAAACAAAGTATGACACAAATACTGGTCCTCCAGAAGTTACCACCTAGCCAAGAAAGCATATACGAGCCAGCTTAATAACTGTGCAAGGCACTATGTAGCTCAGTGTCCAAATGCATGCTACTATCATTAAGTACTAGACAATTAGAAAAGATCGGAGGTCACAAAGGGCAGAAGCAGTGAGAGAAAAAAATCTGGCAGACAAGCAGGCAGACAGAAAAACAGCAAAAGTAAACAACTTTTATATGTACAGATACCCTAAGAAGCACTTTTCAAAGAAAAGCTCCTTTAAACCTCATAATTACCCACTGGGAGAGGTACTAATATTATGCCCATTTTGCAGGCACAGGATTGAGATTTACTGATTTCAACCAATTCACCCAGGATTTCCATAGCCTTAGAGTCTGGTGCATGTAAGTAGGAGATTGGACTTGAGCTAGCAACTCAAAGAGAAGGAGAGGCCTTGGGGACAAAGAGGGACACAGTAGGAGTATTCCAGGAAGAGAGAACAGTTTATGCAAATGTCCAAGCATAGGAATGAGAAGACTACCACCTCCATTCCTGAGACCAGATGGAGCTTGATATGTTGGGTAAAGTCAGGCTCTGAACAGGCCGTAGGGTTTGCACCTGAGTATTTTCTTACTAATCGCCACACAAACTAAGTTACAAAATAGTAAAAGTTTAGCCGGGCTTGGTGGCTCAGCCTGTAATCCCGCACCTTTGGGAGGCTGAGGTGAATGGATTGCCTGAGCCCGCGGGTTCGAGACCCGCCTGGGCAGCAAGACCTCATCTCTACAATAAATCAAAAAATCAGCCATGCGTGGTAGCACGTGCATGTAATTCCGGCTACTTGGAAGGCTGAGGCAGAAGGATAGCCGGAGCCCAGCAGGTTGAGGCTGCGGTGGCCGGGAGCAGCCACTGCACTCCAGTCTGGGTGACAGAGTGAGACTCCAACTCAAAATAAAAATAAATAGTAAAAGTTTAGGTACCTTCTAAAATGTAGAGGCTTTTAATTTTAATTCTTTTCTATGGGATCTTTGATGGTTATGTGTTCGAAATGGTTATAATTTCCAGAGGCAGTTTAATATTCTTGTTTTAAATCAAGATATTAAAAAGTAAAATTAATGACAAAATACCCATTCTCTTTCATACTCTACAAATCCAAGTTAGATTATATACATTTTTTTCTCTGGCAGCAAATGCTATATGTTTTCATTTTCATGATGGTAAAGCTAGCTTATGGCTTTATATCTCATGGCAACATTATAAAATATTTAGGCAACAGGCATCGAGAATGAAAAAATTTAAAAAGCAGTACAAACACACTTGAAAGATTTCTGAATGGTGTTCTGTTGGCTGTCTGTGAATAAAACTTGCAAAATATAAAATACGAAAACTTGTATAATGCGTTTTTTTCTGCTTCATTTACACCCCATGGAATCACAGTATTACACTTTTCCCACAAAAACAGATAAGGCAACTTTGAGGCTATTATCTATTTCAGTACATAGTCTAAAGTTGTTCTTACCTCACAGTTGCTGAGATCCAGAGAAACCCCCTTCAAGCTATGATTACAGGCCAGGCCCAACAATAGTGCTCTGAGGGGAGGAAACACACACATTAGATACAAATTCCGCACAATGCCATACACACAAAAATGTAAGCACATTGAATAAAGTTCAGAGGAAGAACACCTTTTCTGAATCACAGGTCAAGCACCCTCTCACTTTTTAAAATGCCACTGGGGACACCAATAAGAGGGGATGGGGAACAGAAGGTTAGGGTTCAGAAACTACCTACAGGGCACAATGTTCTCTATCTGGGAAATGGGTCACCTGAGACCAAATCCCCACCACTATACAATATGCCCATGTAACAAATATGCATGTGTGCCCCCTGAATCTAAAATTAAATTAAATTAAATGCCAACTGCATTTCTGTCTCCCAACAACAGTGAAAAATGATTCTGCCGCATTCTTCTGTCTGACAGGCAAGGAGCCCATCATAAATGTAAAACCTGGCAGGGTTGCTATTCCTATGCAAATAAACCAACAGCACTCCTAATTGCATATTGAAATTAAATTGTGTTCATCACAGATAAATTCCCACCTGCATCTACTTGAGAACAGCTCTAATAATGTTTAGAATATTATTAAGCAATTGTTATTAGAGCAGCAAAGTAAAACTGGTTTCCCCTAAGGAATAGTCATGAGGAAGTCAGCCTCCATGGTATTCCAGGATGTAATATTATATCTAAATGAGTTTATTAAACAATTAATAGTAGTGGGTGGGCAAGGGCATAAAACCACTAAAGATAAAAAGGTACACATCTTGTATTTGAGTGCAGGATCCTGCCTATTCAACTACCTGTTGAGCCAGGACAAATCACATCACTGCTCTGAAAAGGAATTTTCTCAGTTGTAAATTAAGGCGATTAGACTAATCGTTTGGATCCACTTTGATAAGTCAGTCCTATAAAATCCAACACCACCAAAAAAAAAAAATCCAACACCACCAAGCAAGCTTGAAACAAGAAACCCATGCATGCACATATATCCGTTAAATTACACTAAATTGACAAAAGGCACTAAATTAGACTTTTTGAGGAAAACAGAGAGGAGCATGAGATGGCTCCTGCTCTCAAAAGGGTGTACAATGTGTACAAATAACTGTAATACATGGTAGACAGTGGCAAGCATTAGAAGAGTAGAACCCAGGCATTTGCTAACTCAGGGCCACTATCTGTTCTCCATGTTCCCAGGAAAGGAAACTCCACCTAGAATACTCCAAAAGCACCTTTGGGTATTCATCCCCAGTCTCTGAGATCTTTTCCTTCTAGTGATTCTCTGGCCTTACCCACTGAGAGGGAACTCTGGCAGTAGCATGGAAGGTGCAGGGTTAACAGCACAGCTACAAAAACAAGCGCCTCAGGAGTCTGGAGTGAAAACCTTTCTTTATACTTTTAAAATCCAGTTCAAACTGGGTTCGGTGGCTCAGCCTATAATCCCGCGCCTTTGGGAGGCTGAGGTGAATGGATTGCCTGAGACCGCGGGTTCAAGACTCGCCTGGGCGGCGAGACCTCATCTCTACAATAAATAAAAAAATCAGCCGGGCATGGTAACGCATGCCTGTAATTCCGGCTACTTGGAAGGCTGAGGCGGGAGAATCGCCGGAGCCCAGCAGGTAGAGGCTGCAGTGGCCGGGAGCGGCCACTGCACTCCAGTCTAGGCGACAGAATGAGACTCCAACTCAAAAAAAAAAAAAAAAAAAAAATCCAGTTCATTCATCGCTTCTCGGCCTTTTGGCTAAGATCAAGTGTAGTATCTGTTCTTATCAGTTTAAAATCCAGTTCATTCATGAATCCCTTATTCTAAAACACTGTACCATGAGAAAGGCTGGGTATATCTCATCTCTGTCCATGTTCAATTACTTATTAAATTGCTTCTCTTTCCTAAAAAGTGCCTTTCTTCTTCCCTTTCTTTCTTGGGGGTGGTATTGGGTTGCTGAAAGTGCTTGGGACTAAAAAAATTAAAAGGCTAATAATCCTCAGGTCCTGGCTCTGTTACTAACAGTTGGGTGACCTTATGCACATCAGTGTGTGTGTGTGTGTGTGTGTGTGTGTGTGTGTGTGTGTGTGTGTGTGTGTAAGTTAGAACATTATCAAACAGTTGGGTGACCTTATGCACATCAGGGTGTGTGTGTGTGTGTGTGTGTGTGTGTGTGTGTGTGTGTGTGTGTGTGTGTAAATTAGAACATTACCAAAGAGGTCCCTTTTATTTATAAAACATGCTGAGTTTCTAGGGCCTACCCACATATTTTTATATTTTTAACATATTTTTATAATGTTTACATGAGAGAAAAATTCTTCCTACTTTTCTTACATGTGGATTAAGGCCAAGAAAACAAACAGTGTGCTTTAATATATTTTAACTATAGAAGGCCAATGATTAGGAGGCAATGACTCATGAGACTAGTAAAAATAAATAACCCACACAAACTGTCCTTAGTAAAATAAAACAAAACAGAACTATAATAAAGTATACCATGCACTGGGGAAAAATTCTATAGCAATATATATTGCTTATTTTAACTCAGTGATGACAACATCACCTTAATTATCTTCTCAATCCTCAATCATTATTGCAAAAAAGCTTAAGAGAAAAATTCTTATTGAGTTTTTCCAGCTCTAGATAATTTTGGGGTAGTACATTGAAAAGACTTATTTAAAATATTCAGCCAGAGAGAAAGGATGCCAAAGGAGAAGGGGTACCACTTGGCAGGGAGAGAAGAGGGCTTCCAGGAAGAAAGGGTTGGGGGAAGGAAAGCAAAAAAACAAGAACGTGCAGTAAGCAGGAACTCAGGTTGCACCTGGAATGACACTGGAGCAAGGAGCAAACTTGGAACATGTTGAATCATACTATTCTGGAGATTTTAGGGAGCCCAAGAACAGTGGCACTATGGTCTGCTTTAAAGCCCTGTGAAATATGTTAACATGGTCTAGAAAAAGCCTCAAAAAAAAATCTTAACTATAAAGTAAGCAGTCATGTTCTCTGTTTTGCTTTTAAAGAACAACAAATGAAGTGGAAACTTTTGAAAAATAATACGTCCAAAGGTTATTTTCAAAAGAAACTGCATTTCTTTAGGTTATTCTTTCATGGCTACTAATTCCACGTTTCAAGAAACAAGGGTCCCCCTTCACCCCTCTTGGTGTAGTATAAGGCAATATGGGGTATGAAACAGTGCTGAGCCCATGACAGCTGTGGACACAGCTAGGCACCTCCCAGAACTACTTCGGTAGTCCTTCCCCTTCACTGGGATGGACAACCGGTTCAACTTCTTCCCTCTGTCCAACTCTACTTTCTTCCTTCAACCCTTTTCACAGGTGACAATTTCAAGAGAACGTCCTAATAAATATCCTACACACTAATCACCTCAAAGTCTGCTTCCCAGGAAACCTACAGAAGTGATTTAGGGCAAATTACTTTGTTTTTCTGAGCCTCAATTTCAATGGTTAAATGAGGGTCATGACACCAACTTCCCACCACTGTTGTCAGCATTCAAGGTGACAGTCCATAGATAAGCACTCAGCACTGTATCTAAATTAGGGTAGTGCTTTGTAAATTCCTTTTCATCACAACCCTATCATAAGTAGACCTGAACAGGTGCTCAGACTGAGTAATATCAGGTTGAGTTGTGTTCTTGAGTTGTAACTCAGGTTGAGTTGTATGCTCTCTTTTCAAATTATATCACATTAAATGTACACATGAAATTGTTTATAGAATCTTCAACCATGAACTTTTTTCCCACATTAAATTTTTTGCTAATTAAAACACAGCGCTAAAGAGACTACTGATTTAACTTTTTTTTTTTTTGAGTCGGAGTCTCACTGTCGCCCAGACTGAGTGTAGTGGCACACTCCCAGCCACCGCAGCCTTGACCTGCTGGGCTCGGGCAATCCTTCCACCTCAGCCTTCCAAGTAGCTAGAACTACAGGCATGCACTAACACGCCCAACTAATTTTTGATTTATTGTAGAGACGAGATCTTACCAAGTTGCCTGGGTGGGTCTCAGATCCGTGGGCTCAGGCAATCCACTCGCCTTGGCCTCCCAAAGTGCTGGGATTACAGGCTGAGCCACCGAGCCCGGCCTGATTTAACATGATTAAACATTCACATAAATAACAACAGACCAAAGGCTGGACAATTACAAAGTATCTCTGAGTACAATATTTACAGGTATATACCTATAATAAAGTACAGTAAATCCAGTGTTGTTGTGGTATGAAATCGTACATGAAATCAATGAAAATTTACTCTATATTATATAGGGGTCAACAACATTGAAAAAATTAGCATACCGTGTACTTAGCACCAAAACTATTTTTAATATGCTATTATCTCCTGATACACTATGAAGAAAGGACCCTGTCTGGTTTTGCTTTTTGCTCAGTGCCCTCATGCTATCTTGTACATTATAGATGCTCAGCAAAAATTATTTGAATAAATGAGTGTGATTAAACTACAATGGAACTTTTTTACAATATTGATTCTGATAGTTTTTCTGATATCCATACAAACAGACAGATCATGAGACTTTTATCATTTATGGCTGTTACATTTAGAAGTTACATTGAAGAAATATATTACATCTAATACATTAATTGAACATTTTTTTAATTCTGCTATAACATCAAACTTTTCTTTAGCACTTTCACTGGATCTACTTTTTTTAAAGACATCTATTGTTTTCATCATATGACACTATGTGGAATCAAGAAGTTCACACTTCTCAAAACAAAAAAGGAAAAAGTAATTTACAAACTACCAGAATATTAATTTTCTAGTAAGATGAATAGCAGACATTAATTGTAACATTTCATTCAAATTACAAGATAAAAATTAAATGCTGACTTATAAGTTAACTGGGGAAAGGAGAAATTTGTGCCTACATTTGAGTTTATGGGACAACTTGCATAATCATAACTATTTAAAATATCTTCTTTAGACTCAAAGAATCTATAGTCAAATTCACCGAACTTGTACAATGAACCTTTGATTCTTCCTGGCCATAGTGGACAGAAATCTCAAGGATACTAAACTATTCTCATACTTCAATTTAGTTAAAAATTATGACTTCAGCCCTACACCTAAATTAGGGATATTAACCCATAACATAAGTTTGGCTGTCAAGTAAAAATGCCAAACAGCCTATGTTGACTTGGTTAATTCAGAAACCAAAGCACCTAAAAATTGATTCTGCTGCATATGCACAATGTGTATAGAGTTTGATTATTACTGCTAGTAGAAATATTGAGGATAAACATAGGTTAAAACACACATACACAAATATGCCTAAAATGGACTGAACAGAGGCTAATATAAAAGCAATAGTACCTGGAAGCAAAACTTTTGTAGATCAGTGACTACTGCAAAGGTCATGAACCAAAAGAATATTTTTTTTCATAGAAGATACAATAATATCAATAGTGCACAATGTACTTTTAAAAAAATGTAATTTATTCTTGTGCCCCAGAGTAAGAAGATATTCTCATCTCCCTTTTCTGTCTCTGGATTATACATCTTTTATCTTCCCTCAAGCATATTCATAAAAATAAGGTGAATTTTAAAAGTTCTGAATAGAAAGAACTAACTACTCACTTTAAGGGTTCAGGAGACAGTTTTGTGCCTGAAAGGTTGATTTGCATCAAAGCCAGAGAACTACTAAAAAACTGCTTGAAAGATGGGGGTACTTCTTTTCCTTTCCTGAAAAAACACAAGTCATACAAGTTGTTACACTTCCATCAAACGTATCCATTGGTTATTTAGATACCATGAAACAGCCTACGAATCAGTCAAGTTTTCAGAAATGTAAAGGCAAATAGAAATAAATGCTTAAAACTTAAATGAATAAATGTAATACAATTAAAGGAACCACATGAGAGGCTAAGACATATCATTAAGTATAAAACAAGTTATTTTTACTTCTTTATGCCAATGAATGCACTGTTTTACCTCTTGATCTTCTGGAAAGTCTGTTTTTGCAGTTTTAAAAACCAGGTCAAAGAAAATGTACATTTCCTACCAATTTAAAAAGCTTTCCCACTGGGTGGCATAAAATGTTAAGGACTGATACCTGCATTTGGAAATATTTTTTGATGTGCAGGTTTCAGATGCAACAAGATTGTGACCTGACATTGAGCTAAAAACAGCACAGAAAGTCTGAATGACATGAAGCCTGCATTATAAGTAGCCTATTAGACTATTATATCCATACCACAAACTTATTCATTTCAGGCCAAATATTAGAATAGTTGAAGTCAAAACCACAAATGCAATGGCTATAACCTCCAAATACATCTCTTTCCTACAGAGAGAAGTGAATAAATGAAATCATACGATTCAATAACAAGATAAAGTCAACACCATACTATGCAGGTTTAAGAAAAACAGAAGTCCAGAGCCCAGGATGGAATCTGAACACTTTTTTGTTCTGTTCTATGAGATAGTATGGATAGAAGGATTGAATAAGTCCATTATGTGAACCACTTAGCTTGATGCTGAGTAAGCATTCATCTACTGATAGTTATTCACACTCAGTGGAGGACTCATAGAATCTCAGGACAGAGAGTATCCTAGTGGTCTAGCTTAATCACATAACATTCAATAATGTACAGAGGTCTAGAAAAACCATTTGACAAATTTTTTAAAGTTTTAAAATAGGACAATCTGAGAAGATGAAAATTACAACTAAGAGAAAAGAGAATTCTGATAGGATATATGCTATAAGACATCGCAATCAACTCTGGTTCCTGATAGTGAAATGATGTAAGCTTGTATTCTTCTATTCGTTTTTGGATGAGCAAGTGCTCTTAAGTTATTATTTGAATATACTCCTCCTCCTGCTACTTCATCTTGGTGTTTCCAAATATACACCTCCCCTTTCTGAGAGGGGATGATGCTTTGTCACTCCAATGATGATACGCATGGCCATGTGAGTCTCTTTGGCCAGGGAGATATGAGCAGAAACGATGTGCCTGTTTGACTTTCAGAGAAAAATTTTATGACCCAGTACATGCACCGCCGTGATCTCTTTTTTCCCTGCTATACAACTGTCAATGTTCTAGGTAGAGGCTGCTCTGCCACCCAGGGTGAAGGTGATGTGGCCCGTCTACAATAGACTTGTCACAAAACCACTGTTGCTGAAAGTCATAGGGACTGGGGGAGGGGATCATTGTTGCTGCAGAACAATCTAACCTATCCTGGCTGATACTTATCAAATTATCTGTGAGCAAAAATATGAACAGTCTGACTAACAATTCATACCTCACTGTAAATGCAGTAATTTCAACATAATTACTAAGGACTTTCTACAACTATATCTAGGTAAGATACTAGGTATTAAACAGTTTAATCACAACCTTTCACGGGGAAGAAAAGGCACTTTGTTAATAGCACAGTTCTGCTCTACAAGCCTAACAGCTCTACTGAAGACCAGTCATCACAGAATTCACAATAATGTGAACTCAAAAGTGCTGATTATACAAAAACCTTTATAGTCTATGATATCATCTTGTAATTCAGTTCCCAGTCAACTAAAGCATAGCTTTATAAACTGACTTCAAATACATGAGTTGACTAGGTGGCTTCTATTAATACGCTCAAATGTTCCCCCAAAATAGAGGATCTTGGATAACTCAATTTCTCCCACCATTATATTTTCAGATATCACACTTCTAAACTTACTCTGTTGATGTATTTATGGCATATCTTTGTTGTTGTGAAGATTTGCATCACTGTTGATGTAATGGACCAATACTCCCTTAAAATATGGAGTAATCGGGCCAGGCTTGGTGGCTCAGCCTGTTAATTCCAGCACCTTGGGAGGCCGAGACGAGTGGATTGCCTGAGCCCACGGGTTCAAGACCAGCCCGCGGAACTTGGCAAGACCTTGTCTCTACAATAAAATAAAATAAAATAAAGTAGCCGGGTGTGGTAGCACACATCTGTAGTTCTGGCTACTCAGAAGGCTGAGGCTGAAGGATTGCTGGAGCCCAGAAGGTCGACACTAGGGTAGTCATGAGCATGCGTGCCACTGTACCCCGCCTGGGTGAAGGAGTGAGACTCCAACTCAAAAAAATAAAATAATATAAAATAAAAATAAAATATGGAGTAATTGATTTGCAAGGCACATTATGGGATAAAATTGAATTTTCCAAATAAGCGAGCATTATCCTTTCGAATATATAAAACTATTATGTTGGGTGTGGTGGCTCACACCTGTAATCTCAGCACTTTGGGAGGCTGAGGTGGGAGGACTGCTTGAGTCCAGGAGTTCAAGACCAGCTTGAGCAACATGGCAAGACCTCATCTCTATTAAAAAATAAAAATAAAAAATTAGTGGGACATCGTAGCATATGCATGTAGTCCCAGCTATTCAGGAGGCTGAGGTGGGAAGACCACCTGAGCCCAGAACATCAAGGTTGCAGTGAGCCATGACTGTACTACTGCATTCCAACCTGGGTCACAGAATGAGAACTTGACTTTAAAAAAAAATTTTTTTTTTTTTTTGAGTTAGAGTCTCACTCTGTCACCCAGACTGGAGTGCAGTGGCCGCTCCCGGCCACCTCAGACTTCCACCTCAGACTTCCAAGTAGCTGGAACTACAGGCACGCGCTACCACGCCTGGCTAATTTTTTGATTTATTGTAGAGATGAGGTCTCGCCAAGTTGCCCAGGCAGGTCTCAAACCCGCGGGCTCAGGCAATCCACTCACCTCAGCCACCCAAAGGCACGGGATTACAGGCTGAGCCACCGAGCCCGGCTTAAAAAAAATGTTAAATAAAATTTTAAAAAGCTTTTACAAAGTTAGTTAGTAAAAATTAAAATATTTCTACTATTAAGCAATACTCCAAGTTATTAAAAAGTATATAATAACTAAAATATTGTTTATAACTTGTAAACATAATTATAAATGCTAAGTGTTGGGCTGTATTAATTAATTAGATGGTACCAGAATTTCACACCTAAATCATCCATGTACTTTTTAGAATTCCTCTGCATTGTCTTTTCATTCTAAGTTGCTGTTGTTTGTGAATCCTTGCTGCCTCATATCTACTAACAATTAAAAGGGTAGAAGTGAAGTGCTCAGACTGGTCCGTGATTTCCTCTACAAGTAAAATGCATAGGCTTTGAGAATCTCTCTCTCCCCGTCTGTCTCTCTCTCTTTCTCTCTCTCCCTCTCTCCCTCTCTCCCTCTCTCTCGCTCTCTTTCTCTTTCTCCCCCTCTCTTGCTTTTTCTCGGTTACAGACCCTCTCTGTAACAGCCCCTTTAATAAATCTCTTGGTCTCAGCCGAGTGCGGAGTCGTTACTGGCGCCGAAATCCTTTCAATGATTCTTTTAATTTCTCAGTAGTTTATACCTACTTCCAAGTTCATCACTGAGAAATACTCATAAAATTTTCTCAAAGGATTTTTACTTTATCAAGAGAAAGTGCCTTTCCACATATGAGAAATTATCATGCAATTCAAGTAGGCAGGCTGGGGTTATTGATAAGAACATTAACCTGCAGTTTAAAAAAATAAAACAAAAACTTGAACTTTCGAGGGCTAGTATTCATAGATAATGGTTAAGGCCACCTTCTTTCATGTGCAACATTCACCCTTTATCACTCTGTTTTCACTATCACTATAACTTTTTCTCAGAGAAAGACACTCCTAGATGACAATGATAACAGAAATAAATCCATACCGGTGAGAGAAGACAGTTCTGGAGAGATTGAGCACAGATAAATACTGAAGGCATCCACGGAGAAGGGCTCCACAGACCTGAGAAAGAAATATGGCACTCTTACTTTCAAATACTTCTAGAGAATATTTTATTAGAGAGAAAGTCCCTACATCCCATCTAAATAGCTCTTCTGAGACACCCCAGAGCAGTTAAAAAAAAAAAATTACCATGTCCAGAGAACATTCAGTATTGGATAAATCCAGATGAGCGATGGCATTTGGCTGGGCCAAAAAATTGTACATGTGCTTGAAGAAAAAAAAAAAAAAGTTAGGATCTAGAGACACACACATAAAATGCAAGTGAATGTTTTAAAAGGAAGTTACTAGAATACCTCAGATCATTCGCTGATCTTCCCCAAAGGATTAGCAGAATTTTGTCATTCTGTTATCTTCCCCGACAGCAAAAATCCCAAGAATATTTAAAATAAAATTATGCTTGAGTAAAAAAGGTCAAATGGAAGCTTGACTACCAAGCCCCCTTTTGTTACACATGATTTAGTTTTCCTGATTAGCTCAATTTTTATTATGCAATTTTGGAACAGTGCTAATTAATTTTAACTCCCAAGATTGAAATACCACCTGAATTGCAGTCACCCTATCAAAATGCTAATCACTTTTGAAAGTGTTCACAAAAGCACTAATTTGAATTTGAACTATAGGATGGTCTCAGGCCATACTCTCCCCTGTCCAATATAATGATTTTTCTATCTTTACTTACTTCCAAGATCTAACAAAAATGGCCTGATAGCACTATCAGTACTTTTTTTTTTAATCTCACAAACAGCTAAGAGACTTCAGTTTTCAAGGAGTCACAAAGCCTTTACTTCCCTAGTTCCCTCATGCAAGTCCCATCAAAACAATGAAACTGGTTAGCTCTCTGTTCCCAAATTACCCTGCGTGAGTAGCAACTGCCAGAGCCCACCAATAACAAACTGAGCCTAAGCTCCCTGCTACCAAGCAAATAGCTTACATTCTCCTCTGCTTCACTGGATGCCACCAGATACTAGCAAAAACAAACAAGTGCAGGCTGAGAGTGTCTCAGCTCCTGCAAACGCAAACATTCATTAAGTGTAGTGGTTTAGCTGTATGGTCCTTCAGAAAAATCCCATCAAGGAATTCAGAAGAGCAAAACATTAGCCTGTAAACACTTTAGAATAATCAGAAACACATAATACAATAATCAGATTATATTATGAAAAGTTCTGGTTCTGAAAAATTCCGTTCTCACTTACATGAGGATCAGCTGCCTCTCTCACTGTTTGCTTGGGTCTAGGCGCCTCAAGAGACGTTTTAAGTTTAAAGTGGCTCTGCTCTCAGCCACCAGCTGGGGGAGCTCTTAGCACCATAAAATGGTGATAAAACCCTTGACCAACACTTCTCCAAAGAGCTAGTCCCAGCTAGGCTGCTTTCCCTGAGGGCATAGAGTCAAGTAAGCCCCTGCATGGCCACCAGGCTCTTGGAACTTTAGTCTGTCCTGGGCAAGAGGCCCACTCTCACTCAGGCCTCATCATCCCACTACCCTTCTCCCCAAAAGCAAGCTGGGATAAGATCTACCCTGGCCAGGGAAATAAATTTTGAGCCATTTTGTTGTCTTAGGTGACCTAATTAGTACCCCTATTTTAGCTGAGTCTTATTATTTAATCTTCAGTCTCTTCTTTTATCTTTCCCTCTATTCCTCTACTTTTCCAAGGTAACATTTGGTGGTTTCTCATTGGACTCATTGTTTCATCTTGAAAGGGAACAGATTTATTAATCATTAGTGAAGGTGACAACTAAAACTGGAAAAAACATTTTAAAAGTCTGTTGAAGGCCTACCAGGAAACAAATATTATTTCAATGATTTCAAGTATGAGGTAGGAGGAAAGAAAAAGTATATACCAAAAAAGCCTTAATTTGTATCCCATGCCTTACAGATAAAGTAAAATAAGAGAAATAAGAATACATTTCAGTGTTTTTCAGCCCTGTGGAAAAGCAGTGGAATGCAAATTAAGGCCCTTAAAAGCTGGTCACTTGCTGGAGGCCCTGTTGTTGAAGAAGCATTGTTCCTAAATTCTATCATGGTGACCAGAGGGAACCATCACTACATATGACGCAGTGAGATCATAAGTAATTCACCGTGGCAATAAGATCTGCCAAACAATTCTTATTGATTAGGTACATAAAAATCTTATTCTAAATGAGCTGGTAGTTTTTTACATTCACACTTAAACTCTAAAGTGGCTCCAGGTTATGTCTTACCCATTCCCTCCCTTATTTTATTCATGGAATAGACAGAACTGGGATCTATTTCAATGTCCCCTTTCAGTTCAAACTATAAGTTCCCAATAATATCTTTTTTTTTTTTTTTTTTTTGAGTTGGAGCCTCACTCTTGTTGCCCATGCTGGAGTACAGTGGCATGCTCGTGGCCACTGCAGTTTCGAACTGTTGGGTTTAGGTGATCCTTCTGCCTCAGTCTTCCAAGTAGCTGGAACTACAGACACACGCCACCAGGCCCAGCTAGTTTTTGTGATTTATTGTACATATGAGGTCTCACCAAGTTGCCCAGGCTGGTCTTGAACCCCCAGGCTCAGGCAATCCTCTCACCTTGGTCTTCCAACGTGCTGGGATTACAGGCTGAGCCACTGCACCTGGCCCCAATAATATCATTTAATGATGAAACAGTTCAGTGTATGATACCAATCCTTCTTATTAGGCAATTTTAATAGGGGAACAGTTTTAAAATGAAGAAAACAATACCATTGAAAAAAGTACTTGTGGGAAAAAATGAACTTCAGCATCATGAAATGAACAAAAGAAACAAGTGTGGTGATATATGTAATTTAATTAAAGAAGGCTCTGAAATTTTCATTAAAATACTTCATAAACCGCTAACTAAATAATTTTAAGGTGTCATGATAAAGAGGGACACAGGTAAATAAGTTAGAAATTTACGTTTAGAATTATTCCAGGATCATTAAACATTCTTCTTTGAAGATGGAATAAAGAAAGAAAACTTACCGAGAGGTCGTCTCCGCGAAGGACATTCCCTGAGAGGTCGAGATGGACAAGGGTGGAGGCAGTCAATGAATTGGCACTGAGTGACTGAGAAAGGCTATTCACCCCTGCAACATTGAGAAAATTCAGGCTCAATTTCCTCTCCAGGGAACAAAATAAGGTTTGTGAATTTCTATAAAGGGCCCAACAGTCCCATTAAACTGCAGGACTGAGCTTAATCATAAGCACTATCACCAAAAGGTGGCGCCATGATTTTATTGTCTTCTGATACACCCTCAGGCAGAATGGTTAGTCACAAACACAACCATCTCACTGAAACAGGAGTAATGAATCAGCTTCACTTTGTTCCATGTCATCTGATATACCCAAGGATGAAAAGGGTTTTACTCCAAAGCCTTAGAATGACACAAGCAATCCGACAAGGTTTGTCCCTCTCTTAATCCTGCCAGCTGATTCTTGACTTGTATGGTATTTAAATGATGCATGTTCAAATTCAGATAATTTAGGTTATTTAAAGTACTGGGAATTTAACAGAGGAATATATACCTCTCATTAAATGTGTCATACTCACTCAAGGCAAAATTTGGAATAAAATGAATTGTACAGAGGAGATGATTTGTACACGATATAAGAAATAATCAAAAGGAAACATGTATAATTTCCATTTTATACATTCTTTACATACATGATTCAAGTTAAAGTCAACTTGAGTTTGATTATTTCTTATGTATGTACGTTGACAAATCTACCTAAGCAAACAAAGGGTAAAAGCATGAGGAGGGTGATTGCTCCACGCAGAGAGGGCTATATTCTATTACAGTTACTGACACAGGTCTGCTAGTCATGATTTTGTAGTGGGTCACAAACCTTTTCGTGGTTGAGTAGAGGTTTCCTGAGGTGTGTCATTATAAAATGGGAGCCCAGAAGAGTCTAATCACTCACTGGGACTCAGTACACTCACAAAATCACTGATGATTTTCCTTAGGATAATGGGGATGTGGGATAGAACAAAGATCTTCATGCTTCTACCAAAATCTATGGTACCAGATGTTATATTTTGGAAATATGCCTATTTCTAAATTGGGTATACTTTTAAAAATTATTTTATTTTTCTTGTTTTTCACAAAATTCTTTATGAAAATCCCAGCTTATCTCAACCACCTTAGAGAGAAGCAGCAAAAGGCTTCCCCCGCCCCC